GTTGACGTCTACGGCCCCCTTCCATTGACATCAGATGGTAATCGGTGTATTATAGTGGCAGTTGACCACCTGACACGCTACGCCGAAACAGCCGCTTTGCCGAGCGCTGCAGCTCAGGATGTCGCCTCTTTCATTTTACGTCGCTTTATCCTTCGACATGGTGCACCTCGAGAGCTCCTTAATGACAGAGGCCGCGCTTTCCTCTCCGAGGTTGTCGAAACTCTGCTTTCGGAATGCCACGTCATTTATCAGAAAACGACAGCATACCACCCGCAGACTAACGGGCTACGGGCTAACGGAACGGTTTAACCGCACGCTGGGTGATATGCTCTCAATGTACGTGGATCTGATCATAGCAACTGGGACCGTGTTCTCCCATACGTCACATTCGCATATAACACCGCAGTACAAACCACCATGGGATTCTCACCCTTCTTTCTTCTTTAAGGACGCGAGCCTTCCCATACAATCGACACCCTACTACCCTACCGTCCTGATGCTTCCGAGTGCGCACCTGTCTCCGATGCTGCTCGACAAGCCGAAGAGTGCCGCCAGCTCGCCCGTGCGTTCATCTCGAAAGAGCAGCAACGCCAGAAAGAACACCGTAGCACTGCCCTTTCAGATCCCAGCTATGCCCCAGGGTCTCTTGTGTGGCTCGCCATTCCACACCAAACACCGGGACTCTCCTTGAAACTTGTCCCCCGGTACGAGGGGCCTTACACCGTTTTGCAGAAAACCTCTCCGGTTAATTTCCTAATTGAGCCAGTTTCCCGATCGGACGACATGCGCCGGCGCGCACGTGACATCGTCCATGTTTCCCGACTGAAACCATACCATGAACCTCTGCCTGAAACTTCTTAAGTCGCCAGGATGGCTCCTTTTTCAGCGGGGGCGATTGTGAAGAAGATGTGCCTGCAGCGAGTAGCATCGCCAACGCCCGGCTCTCTTGGCTCGTGCTTCGGCTCGCTGCTGTGCTGATCTCTGCTGGACGGTTCTTCACGCTGTCTTGCCGTTGTCATTATCGACTAATAAACCTCGTCACAAAGGCAATGTCCGCGGCTGGAGGTTCGTCGCACATGCTGTCCAGTCCAGGCGAGAAGGTCGTCTCGGCGTCCAGAAGGAACCTCGCGTGGCGAAAACAGTTTCGTAGCGTCTGTTGCGTAACTGCCTTCCACGAGTTGGCAAACATACTGACAGCAGACCATAGATCAACAGCTTAGCTTTTCCCGCTGTCGGAGGACAAGAGGAGCACAGGCTACACAGCACCATGCGGCTTTGGCATGGCTGCAGCCACAGGTTTGACTAAGCTACGGCTTCCAACGAATTGGTGTGCGCTGGATAGGGGCATTTGCCGTTTCGAGGGTACGGCAGCCACGGCGCGGTAGATTCGAGGGAACGAAAAATCAAAATGGTGGCGTTGATAGTGATTTCAAGTCTGCGGTTAGCGGTAAAAAGTCCAGAAAATCGGATATAAAAAGCTATAAACGTCCGGAATATTGGACTCTTTAATGCATTTGACTCTATGAGGAACTTGACGAGGCCACAGATGAGTTCAGAAAATCAAGCACGTCCGGAATTTCGGGCGTCCGAGAAATCGGATGTCGACTGAATTGTTAATAAATATGTGGTTTCAAACCGACTTTGTTTGAAGGATAATTCCTTGCTGTATAATTCAATACCATAAATATCAAGACCAGAAACGTTGGGTGCCATAAAAAATGACGTTTCCTGGACTATCCAAAAACGACCATATGTCTCGCGATCACGAAAGTGTTAAAGCAGAAAATGCAAGCAACATCTGCACTGTCTGCTGATACTACCACTACTACTCTAACGGGCACAAAGCGGTTGAAAAGACTGCAACAAAAAGGAAGATTCTAAAACTACACACACTCCTCGACATAATGAAGCCGAACTTAACAAAATGTTGGTTAAAATGAAGTAAATGAAAAATAGTCTTGCAATAGATACAGTGTTAGGAATAGACCTTTATAATGAATTTTTATATATAACTAACATATTTTTGTGTAAGATACACCTGCGTTATAACAAGGTTTGAGCATAGTTACCATCTTTCAAAGCACTTCATAGCTGTTGCAATACCATACATCGGAGTTGAGCCTCAACCCTTGTGATGTTACATACAGTTAAAACTGAATATATCGAAACTGATACATTCCCAAAAAAATTTGTTATAAAGAGGATTTCGTTATATGCAGGTACAGCAGGAAAATTCGAAAATAAAATGCGCAAATTAAACAAAAGGAGGGCTGAAGGCAGAGCTAGCCCAAAACACTTAATTTACAGTAAAATCTGCGTTATTATTGCGATGGGAATTGTATGGACACTCTTGGCGGGTTTTTGCTGTCGCTGCCATGTTCCTTTAACAAGTCCAAATTGATCACATGCCCCAGTGCATCGTAACTTTCAAGAGTGGTTAAAACTGCGTGGGTGCTGCTGAAGAAGAGATCAAAACAGTCGGTCCATCCCGATCCCCTGATAAGTGCATAAGATAACATCTCCCGCGTGTTATTACTACCATCGAATGCTCAAGCAGAAAGTAAACCACCCGTCTTGAACGAGCATGAAACAACGCGTGGGGGGGGGCAAACCGCTTGAGTAGAAATAATGCGATCTGGACGAGTATCAATACTGTTTTAATGCGAAAAGACTGTGTGAAAAGAGAGCACTTCTTTCTGGAGCCGCCGTATTTGCTCACACTAGCGTTTTGTACGAGTTCCACGATATCGGATCTGAAAAAGTTGGCTGCCAGCCTTTTTATACCATTAAAATTTTTTGCTATCGCTTTCATTGCATTGCATTCAATTCACCGTAATGTTGCCGGAACTAGTCGGCTGATCGTCAAAGCTACCAGCCTGGGAACTCGCAGTGCGGCGCAAAACGGAAGTGCTTGACAAGCCAACCTCCAAATCCATCGTCACTGTGGTCTCCGAGAGTTTCCATCAGCGCCTCATCTGACATCCCCGTGGTGGTGGGAACACGCGCCTAATCTGATATCCCCACGGTGGTGAGAATACGGTCATCTGAAATTAAGAAAAGGCCCAGTTTCGCCGCAAGGCTGCAGCAATGAATGTGATAACAACAACTTGGAATGTAACGCTGAAAATGGCAAGCAGATCGAAACGTGCAGCGCGCTACTCACGCACAAATGATGCACGAAAACAACATGCACAGGACGAGAACAAACTAACGATGTTTACCGTTCGGCACTTAACGGGCTGGTTAAACAAAAATAAGGCACGAAACATAAGCACAAGTACAGGTATGAGTGCGAACTAACAAGTGTCCCAGTTGTTACTTCCCTGCATTTGAAAAGCGTACTCTTTTCGCAAACGACGCCTGCCCAGCAAGCGAAGAAATCTTTGTGTGTCCGGCAACTAAATGCAATCATTCCGGTCAAAGTCGAAAGTGCGCGATTTTCCCCACCGAAGGATAAGTACACTCGCGCAAACGCATCTAACCCCCACCTCCACCCCACCCCCACTAGCGGGGCAAAGTACGCGTGAGAGATAAACACGCGTCACTGCATAGTGACAAGCTGCAGGGCGCTGAGTGCGGGCGGCTTTCTTTTTTTCTTCTTTCTTGATTTTCCGTGTGTGTGTGAGTGCGTGTGTTTGTGTGTATAGTGAATGACGGCGGCAGCGGCACAAAAAAAAAATTCAGCGGAGACTGTCCATGTAACTATCACAACAAAAAAAAACGAAGCTAAACGTCATGGGAGCACACTATGCACATGTGGTGAAACAATGCACGTGCGCAAGGCGTCAAAAACGAAGAGCGAACGACACGAACACAGACACCGCAGAAAACTATTTGGTAAAGCGCCCTTTAGAGGTGAAGCGGCCTCGGATATGTGATGCTAACTAAAAGTGTGACACTGCCAACGCGCAGTAATTTTTTTTTATGTGGGGTTCGGTGATGGGGGGGGGGGGGGTTGGCACACCCACGCACGCGCCCGGGAGAACAGTGGCAATGCCGGCTCGACCGGTGCAGGCCTGCCTGCCCACACCCGCGCATTGGGGGTGGCGATACAGTCGAACCTCGATACAGTCGAACCTCGATCTATCGAACGGCGCGGCGATCGCGAAATAGTTCGATATATCCAGAATTCGATATAAAAAAAAATCACGCAAAAAATGCGTCAAACAGCTTGCTGAAAACAACCAACAAACCGTTCAAGCGTGGTGCAGTAAATACTCACTTGAAGATTCAAACATAGTATTTATTGTGTTGGTTTAAAATATTAAAAAAGAGTAGCCTGCTTTTTGTTGGCCATGGCGTGTTTGACGACTGCGTCCTCAATATAGTACAGGCGATCCATAAGTGATAGGCCGCATGATATAGAAACCGTTCGATATAGGCAATAATTCGATATATCCGTGTTCGATGTATTGAGGTTTGACTGTAGTGAGAGCGTGCGCTCGCTCTCACCTGGTGCACTGTGCGTGCCGCCGCCGCTTCGCACTTTGTCGACAGCGGGGCCACCGCGGACGGTGCACGCGCGTACAAAAATGCCGAAATGCAGAGCGAAATTCTTAGATTGTCCGTGGGAAAAACTCGTTATATCAAGGTTGTCTCCCACTGTTACTTTATGCATGTGCATTCTATGGAGCAATGGCGGAGAATAGAAAAACTTCGTTATATCGAGGAATGCATTATATGAAGGTTCGTTATAAGCAGGTTTAACTGTAGCTGCATAGAACTGTAAGCCTGTGACAATGGTAAAAGCAAAAATTCAGGAATACTGGAAGGAGAAATTACGCAAGCAAAAGGAGCGAGCACCACATCAAAGGTTGATGCTACTAAGCGAAAGCGACAGAGCCACACGTTTGTGGGTGCTTGAAGGAAGACGGCTTGTAAGGCTAGGATACAGTCCTCTTCAACATTTCGAGAACTTTAAGTGCAATATCTTCCGCAGTTAATCTACCACTGATAACACGGAGCAATCCTCGGAACCATGTTGGTGCACAAGATCTCACCTGACTTGGCCTCCACAGAACTTGACTTCTTGCTGCAGTGAAAGAAAAAAAAACAATAAAGGCGTATTACCACTGATCAAACAACTATTCACACACACCAAAAAAATCGATGAGCCATTTCATCCAGTGAAGTTAGGTGACAAGTACAGTTGTAGCGCATCACATGGGGCCAACAAGCGCACACACTATGTGTTAATACAAAAGCGTCACAAGAAGCTAGAAAAAATTCACCGTCCATCTCACCGAGCATCGGCATTACCTCCCGATGGAAAGACAGCTCACGAACTGCCGATGTCATCAGATGAGATCAGTGATTACCTCGAGTGACATCATGACGTCACACTGTCAGACTGCACAACCTTTGAGATTTCCCTGCATCTTCAATGTGGCTGCACAGATGTGAGTGCAGACCCACATTTATCTCTCCCCGTACCCTAGCCTTATACAGTCAAATCTCAATAATTCAAACTCGAAGGGGCCCGAAAATTTGTTCGAATTAAAAGAAATTCAAATTAATGAGAGCTAAATAAACGGAGGGCTCTCCATGCAGTGGCACATGTGCATTGATGATGATGATATATGGTGTTTTTTGGCACAAGGGGCACATGTGCATTGAGCCGACACACGAGGGGAAAGTTTCAGAAGACTTACATTTAATCACAAATCACCAGACATCCATTTTTAATTGAAGTAATCAGTGATGCGCATCTGCACGCGTTTGTCTTGCAGCGAGTCAATCAATTTCTCACGCAGCTAGCAAGGAATTTCTACTTCGGCTTCAGCATTCTCCTGGCAAGAGAAGTTGTGCACGGAAATGTTTAGCATTGACCCTTTCTAAAGACGACGACAACGACTGCGTAGCGGAGCCTCTCCGCTACGCAGCCGCAGCATGGCCAGCTTAGTGACGAGAAAGGAGGAGCGTCTCCACGCGTAGAGAAGCAGATCGGCAGTTGAGAGAAAACCAACACTCCACAGCAGCTTTTTTTTTTTTGCTCTCTTCCTGCGCATCGTTGAAAGAAGAAGGATTACGTGGCAGGGACAGGAAAGGAAAAAGCGTGGTACCGGTGCATGAGAGACCCCCCCCCCTCAAGGCGCAGAGCCATGCTCCCGCCAGGGGCAAGGGCTGCAGAAGATAGTGCCTTTTTCATTTCCTTCAAGCACACATTCATTCAACACAGCCACAGCTTCCTTTTTTATCCTCTCTTTCTTCGCGCGTGGCGTCGGAAGGAGAGGGGTCTTTACGTGGCAGGGACGGAAAAGGAAGAAGCGTGAAACGGGTGCGTCGCAGATCAGCATTTGGGAGAGAGCAAACATGCCACTGTATCCTATTCCCTTCACGCGCAGCGTTGAGGTGTCGCAGGTGCCGCCGCGAGATTGGGCGGGGTGCTGAGAGCATTTTCCGAGCACGGTATGTTCGAATTAACCGTCGCAAGTGTTTGTGCGTCCGAGTTACCGGGCGTTTTCACCCATTGGAATACACATAGCTTTGACGGGACCTCATCGTGAGTTCAAATTAACCGTAAGTTCCAATTAAGCGTGTTCGAATTAATGAGATTTGGCTGTATAAAACGCTTTTTGTAAACGTGTAAGCTTGAAGCACGACATTACCAACTATTTAAGTTGATAAAATGTAATCTAAACTTCCACAAAAATACTTTTGAGTAGCAAAGAGTTTTAACTAAAATAAGGCATGCCAATATATGTGAAATCGTGCAAATAATAAAATAATATTATAATTCTGAATAGCCTATTCAATAAGTAACCACTATTTAGTAAACCAAAGTTCTATTCAGCACATGTCTCTGTAAGTCAACGGCTGCAACTAAACAGGACAATCATGAGACTAATTTCATGCAAGGAGTCAAGGCACATGCATAACAACACATTACGTAGTGAGTAAAGCTTCTTTACTCGTGGAGCCCATATGATACTGACTACACAACAATAATTCACACTCTCCAAAGAGTTTAGTGCGTGTGAAGAATCTGCTTATTCGTTACCGGTGCTTCTTTCCTGCATTCAATGTTAAAATTGTGAATACTTGAATGTGATCATTTGGTAGTAGCTGTAGAAACAATGGTTTTGCATTAAAAAGATATTCAACATTTGATTCAACTAGCTACTGGTACTGTCTGATTGATAGGCAATTAGGTCTCAAAACTTCCTATTCATGCAACCCTAAGAAATAGATATCAAAGATGATGAACTAAAGTTACGATGTTTCAGTTACAAGGTTTCACAGGCATAATGCATGTTCTTTTTTTTTTCATTCATGTGCCCAGGCTATGTATGCTACCAACACATACTGCTGAACTACTGGAAGCCTGGTTGAGGCCAGTAAAACCCTGTCTTACCAATTCCCTTCACTTTCTGAAGGGGTAAATACTATGTAAGTCCCACTTTTACGTTCTTCAGTGCCACATTTTTCACGGCTGTAGCATAATTTTCCGCCAGTCCTGGCAGAGTTCGGATACGACCCAGTGTAGTATGAACCCCCCTGTGAAGTCCCAGCCGCGCGACCATTCTAGCATGATATGTTGCCAAATGTGCTGTGAGCAGGTCAAGCAGCCCCGTTTGTTTTTTCATGCAGCTTCACCTGGCTTTACCATAAGACTAGCCGCAAGAGTTGCCCAATTCGTGACACACATCACATGCTTTCAGTTCTTGCAGGTGGAAGCATAGCCCTTGAGTATTATATATTGATGACGTCTATGATGCAGTCGACTATGAATTTGTTCTTGGCACTCGCGATTCGCAAAAGCAAGTCCTTTGAGATTGGCATGTGTTTATCCCATTGCATTGGCATCGTTTCATCATCATTATTGTTTGCAAAAATAGTACATGGTCTTATTACGGCATCTATGTATTTTTTGAGGTCATCATGGTGGTCGTGCACATGTGCTGTGTCAGCTTAGTTCTTTCAAGTCTTCAACAAGTGGTGCTGACATAACCACATACATCAGTGAAATTCATGTGCATGGCACTATTCTCACCTCTGCGCTTCTGCCTGTTAATGAAGTTGTGGCTGAACGTACCAACACGTGCACCAGTGATAAAGTTTAGAAAGACGATGGAGCAAAAACTGTTGTCTTGGAAAACCACTTTCGAGAACTTTGATCTTTGCAAGAAATTCGGTCATCTACTACAAGCCATGGCAGTTTGACCCTATGCCAAAAGTGTTACATCATTGCTGGCACATCCAGTGACAGTCTCTTGAAGGGGTCCGAAAAAGTGACCATATGCTTTGTTGGCAGCAGTGGCGCTGCATTTATTAAAAAGATATAGCACTACAGGTGCTCAAAAAAATATTTGTGCTAATTGGACATGAGTAAATGTACCAGGCGTTTTAGTATTTTTTTCACGTGTAGACGCTGAAAGAGAATTCTGGGCAGTTCATTTTTCAGTTATTGCTTTACTAGATCTTATATTTATTTATATGACCCCCACAAATATACTAATAAGTTTTTAATGCAAACGATTGATTGATCGGTAGATTTATTTATCTATTTATTTTATCTATTATAATTTTATTATATTATTTCTCTATTATTTATTTATTTATTTATTTATTTTTTGAACAGGCTTAATGTAATGCCTGGGACATTTACTTCACAGCACCTGTTTGTGTCAGTGGCCGCTGCAGATGATGATGGAGCCGCTGCCCCACCACTTCCACGCCTCAATGGTGACAGGGCAGGAGGATGATGGGGAGGGGCCCAGTCGCGGGGCTTGCGAAGGGGCCACCCGTTTGAACCGCACCATCCGACGGGAAACAGCTGCTGCGAGCGCAGTGGAAGCACCACGCTGGTGCCACCCTCGCTGCCATCCTCTAGGTGGACCCACACCAGTGGAGGGCAGATGCGTTCCACTGTTCCAACACACAGCTGCACATGACGGAGAACAAACAGGGAGATAAAATATCATGTTAAAAACACACACATAAAAGAGACTCTACCGTGAATTCAAAGGGTCATTAGAGAAAAGCACCTAATAAGCTTACACTGATATGCTTTCGAAATATTGACTAGAATACAGCATTTTCTTTTTTGTAGTGACAAAAGTGAAAAGGTAAGCTAAATTTTCTTCACTTGAACTTTGTACCATTCTGTAAGCATTACATCGTGGATTTACAATTCAAGTTCAAGGTTGAGTATAATCCAGTTTGGTCGGGGAATAAAATTGGCTGCCGAGACGACCGAGGTTTTCAAAAATTGCGAAGTTCGATGATTAGGTACTTTACAGTACAAAGTAATTTGTATTTATAGATAAAATGTTGACAATGCTGCACTGATGGCAACTGCTGCTGAGTGTAAGGAAAACGTTTTGCAAATAAAGAGAGTTAGTACATATGGCTATTCCAGCTAAAGAATTGGCTTATTTGTGCATTAAGTTTTACACATAGAGGTCTATAAAAAAGTCTATTCAGTACCATGCACCACTAAGCGACAGCACATTTCATTGAGATCTGATTAAAAGTACATTACCAGTCCAAATAAACGATCATGTAAGAGATACGACACACAAGCACTGAATGACAATTTAATCAATGACAAGAGGACTCCTTTCGTAAATGCCAAACTGAACCATGGGAAAGACTGGATAATGACAAAGAAAATGTGATGTGGAAAAAAAAAAGGGGGGGGGGGGGCTAATAGTAAGCCAACAAAGCACAGTACACACATTTAGTAGCACACATCAATAAGTCTGTGTGGTCTGGCTTGAAGGGATGACAAATCTAGACTAAAACACAGATGATACATTGCACAACATTTTCAGGGACGACAAAACAGTGCTGTTCTTTAAGGCTCTGCTTGACAAGACAATCCCGTTTAAGGGGGACCCGTGCGTTGCCGCAAAACAGAGCAAAGAGCGGGTGACAATTCTTCTGGCCGCTGACATAAACGGGACAGAGCAGCTGCCACTGCTGGCGATAGGAAAGGCTATGAAGCCAAGATGTTTTAAGAATATTAAGCAGCTGCCTGCCGACTACCGGTTTAATAGAAAGGCTTGGATGACTGCCGAACTATTTCAAGCCTGGCTGCGTCAGCTTGAACGCCGCTTTGCGGTCAAGGCTCCGAAGGTGTTGTTCATGCTGGACAACTGTAGTGTGCACATGAAGGTGTTCGGTTTCGAGAACATTGAGCTGCTATTCCTGCCCCCAAACACAACGGCTTCCCTGCAGCCGATGTACCAGGGATTTGTACAGTTTGTGGAAACCTTGACGAGTCAGCACTTCTTTTTAAATATTGCCGAGTCACACGCACCTTCACACTGAAGGGTGGAGCGTGCTCTGGAGTGAAACAATGAAAGGACAGGGTCACGGTTCTTTTCAGGGCTGATGCGACAGGTGAAGAGAAGCTGCCGTTACCCATAAGTGGCAAAGCTCTTAAGCCTAGGTGCTTTAGAAATGCACGACTGCCGCATAGCGTTATCTGTCGTGTGAATATGGCAGCATGGATGACTGCTACTCTTTTCGAAGAGTACGTTCACGTTATAGATAACAAGATAGCCAACAAAAACAGAAAAGTACTGTTCATTGTCGACAACTACCCAGGCCACGGCAAAATAGAGAATTTGGAGGCCGTGACAGCCGAGCTTTTTCCTGAAAATATGACGTCTGTGCTGAAGCTGATCGACCAAGGTGTTTTTCTCTGCTGGATCTAGGCAGTTTTTCTCTGCTAAATACTGAAACGGCAGTGCACCAAAACCAAGCTGGCTAAAGTCTCTTGTATGTTATTTTTTTTTTCTTTTATACCTTCACGAGAAAAAAGATTAGAAACTGCCGCTGAAGAGCCAGTAAGTAGTAGAGATTTTTCTGAAGAGCGCTAATTTTTCCCAGCCATTAGCGCAACTTTGCTTATCTCAAACTTTTCCCTGGTTTTATAATGAGGTATTACTGTACCATATTTCTTCGCATAATCGGCGCACTCGCATAATAGGCACACCCCTCGTTTAGACACGGAAAATTTGATTTTTTAAATTCCACGCACAATAGGCACACACCGAACTTGGCTGTGATCAACAATCCTACCCCCCTGCGGTACAGTTAGAGTGCAGTCTCCGTACCCTGAAGAAAAAAAAAAGACAGATCCAGAAGCAAATAAAAAAATTCGAAGTGCAATGACCTAACCAACGTGTTTGTCGAAATAAAACTTGAAAAAAAAAAGTCCATGAGCGAAAAAAAAAAAAATGGCTGTTTCATCAATTACTGATATCCCCCCCCCCCCCCAAAACGCTGCGCTCCTTAGAGGTCACGTGTACAACACCGGGGGCTCGATCGCCATCACCACCATCAGAGAAAAAAAAAAAGAAGAAAGAAACGCCACTTTGCAAGCGGTGTGTGTATACTGTGGTCGTGTATTCAACTTTGGTTCGGCCATGGGGAAGTATGCAAGCTACACGGCTGGATTTAAACTGAAGGCAGTGCATTACGTGCGGGAGCTCAACAACTGGGCTGCAAGCAGGCATTTCGCTGTTGGAGAAACGAGTATTCGGTAACCAGTATTCAGTAAGAAAAAAACTTAAGGCAATGAAGAAGACATGACAGGCTTTCCGCGGTGCCAAAACCGGCAGGTATCCGAACGTCGAAGAGCAACTGGTCCGGCATATACGGGAGCTACGACAAGACGGCTGTGCTGTGTCATTGGATATTGTGCAGACTGAGGCGCGCAGAATAGCCCGAGCACAGTGCATCGAAGCAAAAGAGTTCAAAGCCAGCTCCGGATGGACAATTCGTTTCATGCGGGGCCATGGCCTCGCACTGCGAAGGTGGACCACCTTGTGCCAGCGCTTACCTGCAGCATATGAGGACAAAGTGGACTTCCACCATTTCGTTATAAAGCTCCGAGAGCAGAAAGACTTCATTTTGTCCCAGATTGGCAATGCTGATCAGACCCCTCTTTTGCTTTGATATGCCTCAAAACACGACAGTGGAGGAGAAAGGTGCACGGAGCGTCATCGTCAGAATGCCTGGCGCTGATAAACAACGGTGCACCGTAATGCTGGCGGTGACAACGGATGAGCACAAGCTACCGCCTTATGTTATTTTTAAACGTAAAACGCTCCCAAAGGCAAATTTTCCTCAAGGCATCTACGTCAGAGTCTAAGAAAAAGGCTGGATGAGCGCAGAACTCATGGTGGATCAGGTGAAAAAAGTCTGGGGTTGGCGGCCAGGTGGTCTGTTGTTTTCATTCATGCTTGTCCTGAACAGTTTTTGCGGGCACCTAGTAGACCACGTACGAGATGAGCTAAAGGATCTGCACACAGATCTGGCAGTGATCCGGGGCATCCTCACATGGATACTCCAGCCTTTGGACGTGTCCTTGAATAAGCCTTTCAAGGGCAATGTTCGAAGGCTGTACACCACCTGGATGGCTGGAGGACAACATCAGCTGACTACAGGTGGTAAGGCTAAAAGGCCGCCTGTGGAAATGCTGTGCGCTCGGATCATGGAAGCGTGGCAGGCAATCTCCGACGAAATCATCGGGAAAAGCTTCAAGAAGACGGCTATCTCGAATGCACTGGATGCGAGTGAGGATGACATGTTATGAGGTGCGGATGGTTCGGACACCAAGAACGAGTCCCCGCTCAGCGAGGATGAATGTGTGCTCTCCAACTCGGACTCCGAATAGGGAAAAGGAGGAACACCTACGATTTTTGTTTAAATAAATTTTACGTGTGTTTGTGCAGTTGACGGCTCTCGCTTGTTCATTAAAAGGTACGTAGGTATGTTTGTTTTATGCTGAATTAATTGGTAAACAATTAAGTCACCTTTTACTTGACAAATGTGCAGATTTAAAGTGCGAGAACCGAGTCAGAAATTTTCGAAAATTTCACCTCGCGTAATTGGCACACCCTTAACTTCTAGCCGGAGTTTCTGAAAAAAAAAGTGCGCCTAATATGCAAGTAAACACGGTAACCAGAAAATTCAAGCGTGAGCACACCTCATTGGGATTCTTGCCGTTAACCACCTCCAGCTTCTGGTTTGGCTCAAATCCTAGGCTGTCTTCTTCCTGTGCAGTAAAAAGAAAGTGACTCAGGCACAGGAATATAAAAAACCAATACTAGGATGACAATATCCAACAACACTTTCTTCAGAACAACAACCTGCAATGACCTTACAGTGCTAGGGTTGAGGAGAATCGCTACCTGATAAGGCACGTCTCAGCTACCTCGGATCTCGTTTTTCTAGAGCCTAACTACAGAATCCCCTCAAAAAATTCACCATAATAAATGTTAAAGAGAAGTGCTTGGTGCAGTAATGAGTGTAAATGTGGTGCAGATTTCACATCATTGAGACCAGTGGCTTTCGAAGCAACTTGAAGCCCATAACCTGGTTGCATCACATTTCAAAATTGCATTAATTAGCACCACGACACAGGCAAGCTCCCAGACAACCCTTTTGCTCCAGTATAAGGCCTACCTTGTTCAACTGGAATTGAGACTTTGGTTTAGGCATACACCAATTATGTGTACGCACGATCTTTCGCTGCATTTCAAGCTGCGTTTCACAACATTCTGGTGACAGAAATAGAATTAAGTCGAGTTAATTTCCTGTGTAGTACATCACGTGAGCAAGCAAATTCTGTGAAGCGTAGAAAAAAAAATAAACGCTCAATTAACACCAACCCTCGACATCGGTGTCATCCCAACGGGCAAGAGCCAACTGGTCCATCAGGATTCGTGAGCCTTGGTGCATTCCTTAGCACTCAAGGACACATCGGCGGCATCACATTTGGAACGCCAGCGGGCACACTACCCACATCTAGTTCACTGTATTACGGCACCCCCAGAAGAGTGATATAGGGCACCGCACACTGAGCCCTGCTCTGCGATGCACACGAGACGGAACACAGTATAATCCAGCGCACAGATGGTGCAATGAGCAGAGGATGTGGCAAACATGCCGAATTTTCACAGCCCTGTAGGACAAAATATTAATTAGAACTAATAAACAATACATTAGACTCTCGCCCTCATTAAACAAAACCTGAATGGACCAAGAAAATATGCTCCATTTAACACCAGTTTCGTTTACTTAGAGATGAACAAAGGTACGGAGTACAAGCACGAAACCAATCTCGTCAGAATCACTTGCTCCATTCAAGCAGCAGTTCAGTTAGGAGATGTTCGTTTACTGAAAGTACTGTATTGCCAAGGAAAGTACAGGGGATGTTATTAGTAGTAAATGTCATGTAAATGTGAGGAAAGAAAAGTGAATGAAAAGAGAGCTTACCATGGGCAGGGACCGAACCCGCGACCGTCAAGGGACACATCCAATATATCTCGCCTCGTCCACTTGTGAATGGAAGGATGCAGCTCAAGCATGCAGTTCAAGCTTTTACCAGACTATCGTAACTTTACTCCATCACCGGATAAGGGAATTTTTGCTTTAAACTACCGCGCTGCTGAAGCGAATGTGTCCTCAATCCAATATCATTATCAAGGGAATCATGACATTCATTCATGACACAAACCTCAATATAACCAATCTGGATATAAGAAAATATCGGTTATGACGAAGTAAGTAAAAGATAACCTTGCATTAAAACAGTGTTAGGAATAACCTTTATAGCGAATTTTTGGATATAACAAACTTATTTCCTTGTAAGATGCAACTTTGAGTGTACTGATGATATTTAGAACCTGGTAACAATGTACCACCTCGAATACTGGAGCAAGCAATGTATTCAACCGAAAGTTAAAAACACTTGATAGGCTATAATAACTAGTGAGTAACAAGCTTTGCTTACATATTTGTTGTGTATTTTGTCACTTAAAACTTACGGTAATGCTACTTTGTTAAAGTTGCTCAGTACGTATTTGTTTCAAATAAAAAAATTTACAATTCAAGCCCTGTCTCGAAAATGGTTGTCTCGCTATTCACAGACTATTATAATAGCATTGTATTCATACGGTCGAAACTCGATATATCGAATGGCGCAGCGATTGCAAAATAGTTCGATATATCCAGAATTCAATATAAAAAAATCCAGAAAAAAATGCGTCAACAGCTTGCTGAAAACAACCAACGAACCGTTCAAGCGTGGTGCAGTAAATACTCACTTGAAGATTCAAACATAGTACTTATTGTGTTGGTTTAAAATATTGAAAAAGAGTAGCCTGCTTTTTGTTGGCCATGCCATGTTTGACGACTGCGTCCTCAATATAGTCCTGGCGATCCATAAGTGATAGGCCGGTGCCTTCAATCGCGCCGCAGTGGCGGCGCACAAGGGCCAAGGCAGCTACGGCCTCAGCTGATGTCGGGAGCGGGGCACCATCAGCGCTTGCGGGATCCACCTCGGCAGTCTTCATTTGGCTGCTCAGCAGTAGCTTCGGCGACAATCTCTACATCCGTGAGCTCCGCCGTTGTACCAGTGATGTCATCACCTCCAACGAAGTCTTCGATGCACATGCTTCGCGGCTCGGCACCTAAAAAGCTCTCCAGCTTGCTCCACGTTTCCGCGAGCTCGCTTTCTTCATCTGCACATGCCGACCCAGCTTCCTCGGATTCTTCCACTGATTCCTCGTCAGTGCGACCAAAGCCCGCATGCTGAAAGCAGTTGGCTATCGTCAACTGCTTAATGTTTTCCCACGATGCTTTGAGCATTTGGATGGCTCCCAAGAGATCGATCTTCAGATCTTGGCCCATCCGGAGTTTTACGAGCAGAATGTCGATCTGTTGACGCTTTTAGTTAGACTTAAATGTGCGGATAATACCCTGGTCCAACGGTTGGAGCTTCGAAGTAGTGTTAGGCGGCAGGAATACCACTTCGATGTTGCTCAGCTGGGCGTCGGTGTGGTGTGCCGTGCAATTATCGACAATAAGGCATACCTTCCGTCCTTGACGCGCCAGGTCCGAATCCCACGCCTTCAGCCACTTGAGGAAAATATCCCCCATCATCAATGCCTTCTTGTTCCAGGCATACGTCACCGGAATATTGGGGCAGTTCGGCATGCACCTCGGGGTTATAAACTTGCCAATTACAAGTGGCCGCAGCTTCGTGCTTCCATCCATATTGGCAGCCAATAGGACCGTCACATGGGCCTTGCCTTGCTTGCTTGCGTGGCATTTGTCCCCGCGAGTGTCCAGCATTTGCCGTGGAAGCATTTGCCAGAATAGGCCTGTCTCGTCAGTATTAAAGATCTGCTTCGGCTCATCCTTGGCGAGAACTTTGGGCCACTCGTGATCAAGCCACTTCTGAATTTCTTCGTCATTGGCGTCTTCACTCTCTCCCGACACAGTCTTCCCGACAATGTTGAAGCGAGCCTTGAAACGTTGCAGCCAATCGCTACTAGCACTAAAATTCTCGGCGCCGAGAATGAATGCAAAGTTCTTTGCCTTCTGCTGCAACATCGGTCCTGATACAGGAATATTTCGGGCCCTTGCATAGATGAACCACTTCTGGAGAGACTTCTCAACATCTTCAAAAGCAACTTTGCGTACACGCTGCGCTCCCGAGTGCTGGCTCTTCTCGGCCTTGGCCTTTATGTCGCTTTTGTTTTTGAGCAGGGTACTCAATGTGCTCCTTGGTATGCGTAACTCATCAGCGACGCTCGACTTCTTCCCGCCATTCTCGACGCGCTGTATTGCTTCCAGTTTTGCAGCAAAAGTCAGGGTCTTCCGTTTCTTCGCGTTTGCAGCCATCACTACACACACCACAGCGCGCGACAGGCCTAACTTTGAAAGCACGAACACTGCGAGCGCAACGACCGATGCCTGCCGATGCTACCGGGGAGGAGCTTGCAACAAGTGCGCAGTGTGCCGTTGACAGCATAGAGACTGCAACGACTGCAAGCTGCAAGGCTGCGGCGCAAATACGCCGCTACGTTAAAGTTGCGCTCCCGGCGCTATCGATGTGTGCAGCATTCGTAAACGCCCGCCGCTCTACCGCTACTTTTGAGAGTTGCGGGAAAGCTCGCCGCCTGTCAATGAAGCGCAGGCGGTTTGGGGTGGCTGAGTTCGATATATCCATTATATGTCAAACTTTGTTTGAAATAAAAAATCAATAATGCATGCAATTTCCCACGTGATATAGGAACCGTTCGATATAGGCAATAATTCTATATATCCGTGTTCGATATATTGAGGTTTGACTATTGAGGTTTGACTGTATTTGTATCCGATTTGGTTCCAAATTTCCCTGCTCATACAACACTACTATTTTGGGACAAAAAGGGGTAGCACAATAGCTGAAGACGGGGGGGTAATTGACAACTAGGAAGACGCATGATATTGGGTGGCAACTTAGCCCTGTGCAGCCTGTGTGTCATTGCATTTCCAAAAACCCGGAAGACTTCGCATGTTGAAAAAGCAAACATACATTCGAAAAAAAAAAAGCACTCACGAGATGGAAGCATGACCTTGGCGCCGCTTTAGCACCACACAACGTGAGGTACTCGTCCCAGCTGAATGTCTCGAACGGGTAGCCTGCAATGTAGAGAAGAAAAATAAAGCATGCAGGGCATTCAAGTGTACAGAACATGAAAAAAATCGGCATAGGTATTACAGTAGAGTTTCACTGAACAAAACTTTGGAAACAAAGAAATATGTTGCATTTAGGAGCTTTGTTCACTAAAAGAGACGTACAGGGGTGCAGCATACAAATACAGTCGCCGACCGATAAATCGGACACCAATAATTCGGACATGCTCGGTAATTCGGACAGTCGCGCGGCACCGCCGATGGTCCAATAGAAGTAATGTGTAAAGACGACTGATATTTCGGACAGCTGCCAGATCTACATTCGATAATTCGGACCCTGCCCGACTGTCGCGCACGCCGAATTGGCAGCGATTATCTCCTCTGGCACTCATACCATAAAAGTATGGCCTCAGAGATCAAAACGAAAGCTAATTGATAATCTATGAGGCTTTATTTCGATCACAACTTTATGCCTCAGAGATTTGTACATGAAAATGCCAATCTTGGAGGCACGGCTCAACTGTGGGGGATCGTATCAACATCGCGATTATCCCACATTCCGGTTCCTGTATACCCTCGCCACCCTCACTGGGCGGCTATCGCCGCCATTCTGTCACATGTGTGTGCGGTACAGCGTTTTAATGAATTCTGTGCGCGTTCATATTCATTTTGAGACTTGCTTTATTTTACATTCAGCTGTCTCACAAGATCTGAAGTTAAATGGCACCAACGGTGCCCCCACAGCCAGTGCCGAAGGCCGCGCCAACGAAACGGGGTAGACATACAACGCTAACCACGTCAAAGAAAGCAGCCATCATTCAGCAAGTGCTCAGTGGTCGTCCGCAAGTCGAAGTTGCTTGAGAGTTCAACATTTCGAAGCAAACCATATCGGACTACATGAAGAATAAGGACAAGATTTTAGGCGCGACGGAGACATCATCCGGAAGTGAACAAAAGAGGGTGCGCCAAGGTGTTCATCCGCAGTTGGAAGAAGCGTTGAGCATTTTGCTTAACGCTACCGTCGCTCGACGGGTTCCCGTTTCCGGCCACCTCTTGAAGCAAAAGGCCGAGACATTGGCACTTCGCCTTGGCATTGATGGATTTAAGTTCAGCGATGGCTGGCTCTGGAACTTCAAAAAGCGGTACGGCTTCGCTTTCAAAAAAATGTGCGGTGAGAGCGGTGCCGTGGTAGCGAACTACCGCGGAAGAAAGTTGATGGAGCTGCTTCGGCACTACTTGGCTGACGACACCTTCAACCTCGATGAAACCGGGCTTTTCTATAAGCTACTACCGGAGAAGACACTCACCCGTTCTGGAGAACCTTGCCACGGAGGTAAACTCGGCAAGGAACGAGTCACTGTCGTTGTCGGCTGCAACATTTCTGGCACGGAAAAGCTCTCGCTGCTGGTAATTGAGAAATCGAAAAACCCTCGATGTTTTAAGTGGGAAAAAAATTTGCCTGTCTGGTACGAAGCCAATACGAAGGTGTGGGTCACGCAGAAGCTGTTCGAAGAGTATGTCGAAAAATTGGACCGAAAGTTTGAATTGCAAAAGCGCAAGGTCCTTTTGTTCGTAGATAACTGTACAGCCAATGCGCCGATCAGCTGTCTGAAAGCCATTGAGCTCGAATACCTGCTGCCGAATATGACCAGTATTCTGCAACTTATGGACCAAGGTATCCTCAAGAATTTGAAGGTGCTGTATCGTTCACGCAGGCTGCAGCGTGTGTTGCTCTGCTTAGAGAGCCAGATAATATACAACGTTGATTTGATATCAGCCATGAGCATGCTTGCTGATGCCTGGAAGGCAGTGTCGGCAGGCACGATCAGCAACTGTTTCCGGCACGCAGGATTTACGTTGCATAGTGAGCCCGACACCGCCGACACTGCAGCCGAAAAACCCGACAATGCAACTGAAGAGCCGGACCTGCCGCCCAGCGCATCGAGCTCAGGTGCGGACGTTATCGACGACCTGCGAGGCTACGGTGTGCCGATTCCCGACACTGTTACGTTTCAAGACTTTGCAAACGTCGACAGTCTAGTGTCGTCGTGTGCCGAATTGAATGACGACATAATTGAGCAGGTTCTGCAACCGTCAAACAGCGGTTATGACTCTGACTATGATGACGCGCCGTGTGCTCCAGAGCCGTCACATGCGGACCTGTCTCGAGCCCTCGCTGTTCTTTTGTCGTCGTACAGCGATCGTATCACACTGGCGGAGATACAGGCGAACTTGCTTGGACGTAAGCGGAAGTGGGTGCAGCAACGCATTAACGACTTTTTTCGGCCACCGGTAAACTGAAGTGTCAATAAAAGTGTCTTTTTTTTTTCTGACGCATTCGTTTTTTCGGACTTTCGATAATTCGGACTTATTTGCATACCCCGTGGTGTCCGAATTATCGCTCGTTGACTGTACCACAAAAACCAAATAAGTTAGAGGCAGCTCAATGTAGGAACAAATTCTGTTTAGTGAAATTCTATCATAGCTGTCAGCAGCACTTTGCTGTAAGTGAGTGCATGATAGTACACCTGTTGCCGATGTAGTCATTCTAATACTTTGCCTAGCGACACTTTCTGAGTGTGGTCAGAAAGCAAAGGTGATCCAAATATATTGTAGCACCAAACATGGCAGGGAGCTTACAATCATGTTCCACGGACAACATAAGTTGCTTCGCTCTCCTGTCGGCAAATTACATCAATGAGCAACATGACTGAGATCCCACTAAAAGCAGATCGTTTTGTTGTGCAGTTTTATTTCCCATTGTCTCATAATTACTTCTGTTCAATTGTAAAATTACAATTGAAACTTCACCTAAACTCTTCTTGTTTTATTATTTGTCGGCTTCATAGGGCTGTGCCCAACAAAAGCAGACCTGTCAAGTGATTTTCCGTCCTCTAGTCCTAGAAATAGCCCATGCCTTGCACCTTTGCGTATGTCACATTGAATTGAGCGCATTTGGCCACAATATGAACTTCGTAACCTTGTCCAAATACCACCTTTTGGCATGAAGCAATGTCAAAGCAAATGGTAATAAATTTCAAAGCAAATTCAAATGCAGCAGGATTTGAACAGAAGTAAGCTGCAAGTTATAGACAGTTAGACACGCTAAGTTCTAAAATTTGACCTTTTTAGCCTGTATAAGCACCTACGACACACTTTCAAGCTTTGAAAAATATCAATAGGCATGAAAGTAATAGGGCACAATTAACCTTTGATTGTGGCTCAGTGGTAGTGTGTAGTACGCAATGCTGTGAAACCCCTGTGTGGTTTCACAGCACTGCAGTACTAAGCTGCAGAGAAATCACCATTGCAGGCAGGTTACAAGTGTTAAACTGTCTTTTTTTTTCGAGTACTTCGAAATTTCAGAAATTTTAAATCCAAGTTGAAGGCAATTCATATACTGTAACATTTAGCCAAATAGAAGCATTTTAACAGTCGCACTGACCTACTTGCAATAAATTCGCTTTATGAAATCTCTTTTTTGTCCACTGGCGGCACTTAATTGACTAAAAAGCAAAAGATGCTTAGTTCCATCACCACTCACCAGGGGGCACCAAGAGAATCAGCCCATTTTTTTGGGCCCAGCCGACCGGCAGGAGAGTCTGCGATCGAGCATGGCACCACCTGACCAGAGGAGGTGCTTTCGACGGATGCCCCAGGTCGTCCACCTAAAAAAATATTCAATGAATCCTGTCTTAGAATACGTATGCCATTTTAAGCATAAAACTGCAAGTGTAACTTAAATTATTTCACAACATTAGCAAGAAATTATTTCGTTACAACGTCCACAGTGCCATATAAACGGCCGCTACAGCAGAAATAATATTTCCAAACGTGCTTCTTTTTCTCTTTTATTGTAACCGACCCGCTTCACATTTAATGGTAGACTTCTGCATATTGCACCAAAATGTCAAACATTCCCTATTATTCCCGATGTTCCCGAACACAAGGCAGACTTTACATGTGCAATTCCCGGAAGTGGTACTTTTGTAATTCTCTGCTCTGTTTTTTTTTCACCCACTCCTGCCATAGCCCTTAATGGGCTGCAGTATGTGAAAATAAATAAATAAATAAATAACCGTCAAGCTTTGAGGACAATGTGGCACTAAAACACAAATAGATTATGATTTTGTTCACTGTAATACAGAAGTATGCGGCCTTTCAGTACAGGGCTGCATGCCCTTGTGTCAATGCTGCTTTTTTTTTCTCTTGGTAAAAGGTGAAAATCAGTGAAAATCAAACTACAGTAAAATCCTGTTAATTCGAACTTCACAGGACCGGAGCAAATGTCCGAATCAACCAAGGGTCCGAATTATGGTGAGTACGAGCAAAACACTAGAAAAATGTCTCCTACACCATCAAACTTCTATTTCTAAGTTTCTGCAGGTGGCTTAGTTTACGCACACTGTTCGACAATTTGCATATGTTTTCTAAAACGGTCATTGTGTGGCGTGGACGCTCCTCTGCATCACTTGGGCTGATTCCCGTTCGCCATTCAAGACTTAGGCGACGATGCCATTGGTCACTGTGCCGGCCAAGGAAAGATCGCTGTCAATTGCGGCGTAATTGCCGAAAGGCACATTAGCTGGCATGGTGATTACATAGCAGCAGTCTTGCTCTTCATCGCATTCCTCGTCGGCCTCCACACCCAGGGTCAGCAGCGTCTTGCACAAAGCCACTATGCCTAAAGCAGCTGGCGACTACAGACAGCGCATTTTTCCGCATGTATGTGAGCCTGTGGATTGCACTTCGTAGGCTTACTTCGTACTGCTTGCCTATCTCCATGCAGAGCAACATCCGCTCGAGTACCTGTCGTCAATAACAACTTTTCACAAACTGTATCATTGCCTGGTCCATTGGCTGCAGGGAAGCCAGTGTGTTCAGAGGCAGGAATAGGTGTTCAATGTTCTCATGACTGGACACTTTCGTGTGCACACTACAATCGCCCAACACGAAGAACACCTTCCAACCGCAAAGTGGCGGTCGAGCTGACGCAGTCGGGCTTGAAAAAGTTTGACAGTCATTGAAGCCTTTCTATTAAACTGGTAGTCAACAGGCCGGTGCCTAATATTCTTAAAACATCTTGGCTTCGCAGCTTTCCCTATCACCAGCAGCGGCAGCCGCTCTGTGCCAGTCATGTCAGCAGCCAGAAGAATTGTCTCACGCTCTTTACTCGGTTTTTTGCCGACGCACAGACTCGCCTTAAATGCGATCGTCTTGTCAGGCAGAGCCTTAAAGAACAGTGCTGTCTCATCAGCGCTGAAAATTTTGCATGGCTCAAACATAGAAAGGTGCACGTATAATCCAGTCTGTCAGTCCTGCACAACACTTTCATCAACGGCACATCTTTCAACACACATGTTGCAGAACCTGTGTTGCTTCTTGAAACGGTCGAACCACCCTTCCAACGCATTGAAAGAGTCAACATTCATGGTCAGTGCGAACTTCTCTGCTTGTGCGCAGAAAAGGGGGCCGCTCAAAGACAAATGCGCACCGCACGAAACGGCAATCCAGCGTAACAGCGCAGCCCAAGCTAAAAGCGCTGTTATCCTGGATTGCCATTTCGTGGGATGCGCATTTAGCTTGGGCTGCGCTGCTGCTCAAAGCCTTTTTCTCTTTTCTCCAAATATGTTCCCGTCATACGCTTGCATATTCTGCTCTTCGTTCTTCACGTAAATGCTCAGCATGCTTTTCTTTACATTTAAGTTCTCCATGACTTCTTTTCGAGATGCTCCTGCTTGCAATGACTTCAATACTTTCCCTTTCGCAGCTAAATCCTTAGCTTCGTACTTCCCCCTTTTCGCTGCAGGGGTTGGGGCAGCTGGGGCCGCAGGAGACGCAGGGGAAGCCATACCGGTGTCGCTTCCGCGCTGGTGACATGCATTTGCATGAAGTAGACAACGAACTTGGTGATAAAAAACGGTGAAAGCACAGTGACGAAAACAAAATAGAAAATGCAAACTTTTCAAAACAAGCAAACAATGAGGCTGCAGATGGCACTGATCATGCACAAAGATGGAAAAGGAAAATGGACAAGAAAAAGATCGCACAAGAAAAATGGAGAGGTAGATTCGTCGGTTGCCTGTTGCTTTGTTGCTGATGACAGTCGCGATGCACAACCTTTCATTTTCGTTGTAAACCAGCGCCATGTGGATTTTTTTCTTTTGGGGTGCCTCCGAGCTGCAAAGTTAATTCCTACCCATAAAGGAAGTTTCAAATCTCAAAGGTCACAATTTGATCTTCAAGTTCTTTAAGTGCACTATTGATCTGGCTGGCAGAATTCGCTGCTGCTTCCCCGTCCGACCACGGTCAAAAGTATACATTAACCAGAGTGCAGACTAATCTGTACGAATTAATTGGAGTTTTCAGTCACGAGACAATGTACATCTTGGATGGGACGCGACGCCGCAGCCACATTAACCGAAATTTCGAATTAACGGGGGGCAAATTAATGAGATTTTATACCTGCTTGTTCGATACAAGTTTTATACATAAGTGAAAATTTTTCTAAATCAAATGCACCATCATTAATCTTTGCGTGACAGTTGCAAATACTATCCAGGGATTAAGTAAAAGGAGGGGGGGGAGGGAGGGGCTCTCTTATGCATGCCATCGTAACCCTAGCCGCTCCTGGAACACCAAGGCATGACAAACCAATGCATGCACTCGCACTCAAGAGACGCACAGCTCAACCAAACTGACCTGAACAAGGAACCACTGTCCTGAAGCCAAAGTGGCCGTGACCGTGGCAGGGCAGGCCTCCGTGCGGCTTATGGGGTTCAGCAGCTCCACCTTGTGGCCGACCTCGAAGCTGTGCTGAGACAGCGGCACCGGTGGCTGCAAACACAAACAAAGAAGAGAAACAAAGGAAAGGTTTAGAAGTTATCCTGCTGATAAAGCTTTGTCATAAGACCACCGTGTTATAACAGGGAACGCAGAGTTCAAGCACATCACCAGCAAAATAAAGAGCAATGATTGTGATCAATGCGCTAAATTTAGCAAGGACTGAAAAACGCCAAGACGAAAGAGAACCTTGCTTTTTTTTAACTTGCTATGTATTTATACTTCCCTGTAAATGCAAAGCAACAAGGAGTCATTTGGGAGAGAAGAGGGAAAGAACAAAGTGAAAAAGAGATGCCACCTTCACAAGAAACATGCACCCACAACACCAAGATGGTTGCCCTGCAAAACTGGGAATCAAATCAAAGACCTCCTTCGTTGGAGGTGAATGCCCAAACAACTGGTCCAACACTGCAATTGCTTTGTCTAGCTTGGTCACATAGTTCTACTCAAAGTACCCATGTCTCAACAGTCCCGGCATGTATGTTAGCATTGCTTTATTAATCACAGTCAGCTGTGTGTGTGGAAAATGCTTGCTTAGTACCCCGCATCCCCAAGGAATCATTCACACACCTCATAAACTTGATGTAACACACTTCATCCTGGATAATTTAGAGTGAAAATGTAGTGACTGGCCTTTGAATGTATCTAGCCGATCGGTGCCTACGTCCTCACCTGTAATATGTTGGCCAAGATCTTTCCGTTGTACTTCTCGGCCTCCACCATGGAATCGCGCAATATGCACTTCCACTGATCCAGCGAGTGCAGGTTTTCAATGCCTATGTAGGGGATAAAAAAAAATAGAATACTTGAATTCTGGGACTTCTGTTATTAACAGTTCGTTTCGTGTTCCAGAGCCTTCAGGGTATGCCACTGCTCTATCAAAAAAGAAAAGATGAAAGCTGACTTTTCTTATTTCAGCCTAATAATTGATATTTCCCGACCAGTGATCCAATATGTGGCTTCAAGGCTTCCTCAATTTAGTTAATAGATGCAAATGGCTGAGGAAATGGCCAAGATAAACCTGTCATTCAGTAGCAACCAATATTTAAAGCAGGAAAGTGACTCGAATGTTAAAGTAGTCATAATAGGGCAAGCTGTACAGTGAATAGTAGGTACATGCAATCTGACAAGTGCAAACGTCATAGAAACAGCGGCACACTCACACTGCGGCGGTCGATAGTTCTGGTCGCCATGTGAAGGCATGTCGAGCGCTTTGACCCGATGCGAGAGGTAGAAGAGCCACAGGTCCCACTGGGGGTCATTGCAGCCGTCGTAACGCAGGAGCAGGCGACCGCCCACGTTCTTCAGGACCTGTTGCACAGCAGCCAGGCAAGACGAAATTGAAAGCGGATAATTCTCATTATCACTATCTTAAGTTTCAATATGCCCTACAACATAAAAATCTCTCGTAAAACCAATGTGTACCTCAGAATTTCAGAGAAAATTTTATTCCTGGGCTTCTCTTACCTACCTCTTTTTTTTCCCCCTACATTCAAAAAAGCACAACTGCTTTAAAATTTGAGCAAAGAAATATATATTGCAATGAACAAAGATGACACCCATTCCTAGTAGTAGCAGTAGTAGTAGAAAACTTTATTATGTACATAATCCAGACAGGCTAGAACTCCAGTGCCCCGAAAAATATACAGGGTGAAGAGCAAAGTCTGTCCGGCAGGTTGGTGCCCCTATTCTAGTGCCACATTGGCGCGAGCCATTCGTTCAGCTCTGTGGATCTGTCGCAGCTGATCCTCCAGGCCTGGGCTAGACAGCAGCGCCTCCCATTCCTCCCATGTGCCATTGGTGTCGTGTTCTTCGTCATGCTCTGCACACTCCCCCATAATGTGAAAGAGTGTTGGGGTGGCTCCACGCCACGGGCACATATCTCTGTACGCCATGGGATAGATTGCCATAGCACTCGCAATAAAAGAGGGATGGACGCGAAAAGCTCCATTAACAATCATTACAGATTCGCAAAAAGCTTGCAGAAATTATCTAAAGGTCAAAATTGAAGCACAGGCGCTCCGTATATTGGTTGGGACAGGATGGGAACCCACAGTAAAATACATACAGGCTGTGATTTGGGCACCGGGGAACGAAGACGTGACAGGGAACCTGCATGCGGACGAGGCGACTCGAGGCTTCTCAAATCACCGAGCCACTCAAGACAATGCAATAGATGACCCTACACCCCTGGTCCCCTGTTTCACAACGATTCTAAAGTTTTACAGGGAAAATAGGCAGCTCTATTCACGTCCTCATAACAAGCTCAGCACTGCGGAGGCAACAGTGCTAAGAAGAATACAGACTAACACTTACCCATTCCTTATCTACCAATTTTTCCCATGCTATCTGAACCTATAGGGTGCAGCCATAAATTTTCAGACCATCCCTTCTTTCTGATTATTCATGTGCTTGTGTGCACGCATAGTGTATACCAGGTGCCCCAGCTAATCAAGATTGTGATTATTTAAAAAAACGTGCACTGTAAAACGGCACCTTCTGCAAGTTAGTGGCAGTCGTGTGTACACACAAGCTGCATTTCTTTTTATTAAGCAATAATGAATAAACTTTAGTTGGCCAACTTTTTCTTATTTTTGTCCTAATAGCTAAAATAATTGCTTTAGATTGTCAGCCACCTCAAGTAACCCCAGAATCAAGCATTTATACTTGGGTTAAATCTGCCCGATCATATTTTTCTATAAAGGAACAAAAGCTTGAGAAACACATTATTAATGAAATAGAGACACACTTGTGCACCCCTACGCAAGCACTTTCAAGCATTGCTTGATCAATGCACAGCTGCAATTGTTCATTGTACAAGGCTTCACGCAATTTGATAGACGCGTGTCAAAAGACGCTTCTGATTCATCCATCACAGAGCATAAAGCCCCAGTAAAATGCCACGTTGAACGAACACAGCCGTGTACCAACTAAAGAATGCTGGGAAGCACTTGAGCAGAGGTGCAAAAGTGTGCGTCCATTTCATATTTGGCGTGTTCCGAAAGCTTTCCTTTCTATTCTTTTTTCTCGTTTTTTTTTCTCTCGGAAGAAACAACTAGTCAGATTTCAGTACAAAGTAAGAGCTTGATTTTGGGGTTATTTGAGATGGCTTGTATATCACAGTCAGTATCTTGCCAATCTGGAAAATAATAAAAAGTTTGATAATTAAAATTAATAAATTAGTGATTAGTAATGAAGAAATACAGGTAGTATGCATACATGACTACCATTAATATACAGCAGGTAAAACTATTCCTGGAGTGCACTGTTTTTTTTTTAAGTCTTTTGTCCAAGTTAGCTGGATCATTCATTATACATACCAAATGTAAAAATCTAAAAAACAAGGGGGAGGGGGGGAGGGGCTTTTAAACCACCACACTCTCTGGCAATGCCACTAGTTGGAACACTTTCAGCTCTGGAGTTCCTTCAGGTAATCTTAATAGAAAAAAAATTCTGGAAGAAAAAGAACATTGGCATGAGAAAAAGGGCGTGAGGCGTGTGCTGGGCGCTGGAATACAGCGTCGCTGCGCGAGACCCCTGATATGTGCATACACGCCATGTCGGCGTGTGAGATTGGACACAAAGGCTCGGGGCATGCGACCCAAGCCGTGACAAAAAATCTTCTAGAATGAACTGGCACTGCACGTTGGCTCTTTGAGCTGCGAATATCAGGAAGGTAAGCGTCACTACAGTGACGGAAACACTAGAGCCGCCTGGTTCTGAAGGTTGTCAGAGAAGAGGCCTGGGAAGTGGCTGTCAACCTCGGAGGTCCCGAGTGAGGCTGCCCAGACTTGCCGCAACGGATCACAGCAGTTCCTAGCAGGCTTGCATCTCTTCCAGTTCGCACCAGGATGGTAACAGCCCATACCAGTCAGCAGAGTTGACCCGCCATCAAGGAAGTTCTTGACGAGCTAACCCTATAGCCTAGCGAGGCTGAAGACGACGTCGAATGAGGTCAAATGACTCGTTCGGCGGAGCAGGACGACGAATGTAGGAACTTGGGGCAGATGTCAAAGACAAAATTGACTAACAGTCGACACGGCAAGGGCATTGAGTCGACATGGCAACGTGACATGAACTGTAAGAACGTTTCGGTACAGAAACACTATCTTGAATGAATGTTGGCTAGAATTAGAGTTGGCTCTAACACATATTGTAGTTAGTTTTGTTTCAGTCTGTAGCAGAGTGTTGTATATATGTAGTGTTATTGGGTTAATTTCGAGTGCTTAACACAACTTCTGTGTACAGTTTATTCTCGTTAATTCGAACTCGATGGGACCTCTGATTTTGTTTAGATTATCAAGGAGTTTGAATTATCAGAAGTTCTCAAATATACGACTATGGGCAAAGTGACATATTGATTTCATCACATTTAAAAAATTTTAAGTGTTTTTAAACCCTAACTGACCCCAATGAACAAGTGGCAGAAGTGTAAGGTCCACAAGTTTATTGGCCGTTTACTGCTGACCAGACCTTTTAAAGAAATTGCTAATTGCCAACTGCTTCTTTGCTATAGGTATGTGCCTTCAGCACAAAGCTCTCTCTACCATTTGAGAAGCATCAGGGTTTACCGTACGTGTGCTTCATTTAAAACATTTGTTTACTAGCAAAGCCTTTTTCCTTGAAGACCTGAGGCACTAATTTGTCATTTTTAGACTGTTGGGATTATATAAGCTCGCAAATTTTTTAATAGAGGGAAAGCAGTAGATATTTTCCAGTACGGTACCACAAAAAGTATGAATTAACCACATGATGAGTTTGAATTAAGAGGCTTTTAAATACATTGAAGTAACAGTGGGCTAACCTAAAAATTGAATTTTATTTGAATTAAACAAATGTATGATTTATCAGAGCTTGAATTATCGCGAGTCTACTGCATTTGTATGCATGTAGTGGCCAGATACTGCACCAGGGTGGCCAATCCTTCTCCAGTGAGGGAGTGCGTCACCGGCAGTGTTCACCGGTAGTGCCACACCCCAGACCTCCTAAGCAGTTCCATCACCACATGGATTTTTTTTTAAGTTCGGTTGGAAACTGCGCGGCACCAGGATTCGAACCACAGGCCTCTTGCATGCGAGGCTGATGCTCTAACCACTACGCCATCGCCATCGACATGGGCCGGGTACGTAGTGCGCAGACAGGATAACTGCTGGTCGTTAAGGGTAACTAACTGGATTCCCAGAGAAGGCAAGCGGGTTATGGCAAGACAGAAAGTTAGGTGGGCTGATGAGATTAAGAAATTTGTGGGTTAAAATGGCAGAAGCAAGCACAGGACCGAGTTGACTGGCGGAACATGGGAGAGGCCTTTGTCCTGCAGTAGACGTAGTCAGGCTGATGATGATGATGATGACTGCATTTGTTTTGTCCGTTCAGGGTACAAAGTGTATTCGTTTTGCCACGCCATGGGCGTGGCAAAACTGTTCCCAACTCTCTGTCAATCCAATCCTTTGCAAGTTCTCCCGGGATAATCGCGACAAATGTAGCATTTAGAGTGCTGAGACAAATCACTTACAAATCATTTCAATCTATCCTTTGGAAACCAGTGTAAAGAAGTAAAGGCTTGCATTAGACAGAATGTCAAACACTCACGGAGGCCGCCCAGCCATTCAGTGGGTTCTCTTCTTCAAGCACAAGCAGTTTCATGTTTGGCTGGATCTGGTCAATGGGGGCTGAGCCTTTCTGCAAGTGCAATGCACAGAAAAAAATACAAATTACAAGAGAGCCGTTTCACTTCACAGAGTACACACTGCACAGTCCAAGGAAGATTAGGCTAACGGTGTTTTAATACAGCTGACAAAGGTCCGATCTCCCAACGAAGGTTACGAAATCACTGCGTTGAAATAAATCATGTGCTATGTCAAATGCAGTTTTAGTAACAAATAAAAAGAAAAATACATTTCAGCAAAAATTTAATACGTAATATACAAACAGTAACTGAAAGACGATTAGCCATGTCAGACAGAACCAATTCAGGAAGGTGCCTGTTTCACACCATTCGCTCTTCTTTGAAACGAGCAGAAAGAAGTGCAGTGGCCAACGAATTAAAGACTATCTCCTATTTATTCGCTGTGTACATATCAAATCTTCTTACGCATAAGCTACGCAGAAAATACAGAAAACTTAGAGAGATTTGCCACTGAGCTGGCAGATGCACGGGCATAAGAGAGTTTCCCTTCTGTCCAGCCTTGCATGTCACCCGAGGGTTTATGATGTGCAGATTATACGCAAACTGTCTTGTAAGGTGGCTTCATGGCAGTGCCTTAATTAATACAATGCAAGAAAGGTGACAGCCACAACTGAAAGAAGCACTAGGTGATAGCAAGAAACTGACACTGGTGTCTGAAATCAAGTGATAATAAAGTTTGCAATCTTCCGGCATAACTGTTGGGGTCATTTCCACGAAGGTGTTATGCCAGTTTGCATGGCTGAAGTGTACAGAAAATAAGTGGTAAGCTTTTTAAAAATGTTTAAGCTGTTGAACACAAGGATGGGTAACGTACAATAAAAAGTATGGCAACTCATAGCACCGCAAGCCCAGCTATGGCCTGAAAATCAGTTATGTGAACGTAAGTCATAACGTAGCGACTTCTTTCCAATTCTATGCCTTCTCAATCATCCACCATTTGATATTGGTCAACCGTGGATAAAACGCAGGAGTGCCTCTGAGGGATGCAATTACAAAGTAATGCCTTTTTCAATGCTATGCAATTCCCGCTTGCTCATTGGTCAGACTGACGATTTGCCCATAAGTCTAGCCAATGAACAAACGCAAGAAGCAAAGGAAGCGAAGGTGGTGAAACGTATCGGAAATTTACTCGCTTCACCACTTGAGCGGCCGGCAAGATGCGCCGCGATGTCAATAAAAAAAGAAATCAGTCCTGAAGACTTCACACTTGAGAATCCAAGCGAAAATGCCAGAGCGGCCGCAAAACCATGTCTGCGCCCAACATAAATGTTCACATTCGTTCTGTTCCTCGTATACATGCCATCGCCGCAGTTGCCGTCTGAGAATTCATTCCTGAGCATTAAAATCTGTACCAAGTTCTAGTCATGCATGCAAAGCACCAAAAAGAAACAGTTTACACCTTTAAAAACATTGTTTTAGGAGACACGCCAAAAGAAACGACACATGCGGACACACCGGTAGCGGCGGCGATAGATTCAGCCAGCAGGGCAAAATGACACACGTAAGGGCACGCCGACTTGCTGCTGCTGCACCTTCTACTTCTGGTGTTCGCGGCGATCGCAATTCAAACTAGGCTCTCGATTAATGAGTCCTTTTCAAGGCCGTGAGCTTTGTCGTGCTGTGCGGTAGTTCGAGATTACACAGGCGCAAGCCACCACCGTAACCTTGGCCGCCATTTTGAATGTACAGCTGGTTGTTTACGTTTACATCACATTGTTTGAGTGCTAGTGCAGCTGGTATAGCCAAAGACGTAGCAGAAAGATGATCTGCTATCGTGTGGCGGCAAAACTGGTCTCTGACCAATTTTTTTGTGTCGGCTTTACGGCAAAGTTTTCGGGCCACTTTCGACGAAGCGAGGAAAATTTCGCTCAGTTTTGCCGCATTCTCTTCCTTCGAGGCTAATTGTGAATTGACCTTCCTCCCACAGACAAGCCGTGTCGCGCCGTTCACATGCAGCAGTCAATCGCGCGTTCATATCGTCCATGGTAGCTGGGGAAACCGTTTTTATAACACCAAATCAAGGTGTATTTTATATAATGTAGTCCAACTGAAGACCTTAAAATTTGAATTTTATCATCGCAAAATTGACATCAACTGTAATCGTATCATCAAGATTCTACTCTACAACTAAATATTCAATTGAATAATGCCATTAAGCATGAGATAACGAACCATCTCAAGAACATAGGATGGCACAGTGACAGCACTCTTCAGTTCGTCGGCCAGCAACTTCTCCCAGTCCAAATGCTTCTCCACAATGGCTGCAAAAAATAAAGACATGACCACAAAAACAGTTAGACCTAACAAACCATTGCAGGCTAGATAACTAACCAGATCTGTCAAACTAATAAAGTGATCAATATACACATTTGATATGGTCTGTATAGTTATTAGCAAGAAACTCGGCCTGCAAAAATATTCAAATGCTTTGAATATTCCAGCTCATGTTACAATATTCAAATTTGGCCCAACAATAGTTCAGTATTTCTGAAGTTCAGAAGCATTCGAAACAGACGAGCAGACATATTTTGCAGGTACACAACGAACGGTACATAACACTATGTACGGTTGGTATGGTATGGTAGCGCTATGTGTGGTTGGTTGTGTTCCTTTTTTGTTCTTATTTGATGCACTGTTTCCCTATTATATCTTAAACCAACTTGCTGATAAGTTGATAAATGTGATTATTGTGTTACTTATTTCTTATTTACAGAGGACCCGATTTTTAGTGACCACAACCATGTAACATGATGGGCAATCAATCCGGAGAAACAGGAGAAGCCCCATCTACAGCACACATTTCATGCACTTACAAAAAAAAAACTGACTGGAAGATAGTGCTTGTTTGCCTTATCCTCCAATTTCGTCCTTCGCCTCAACCAGGGTTTCCTGGACCCTGGTGCTGCAACCATTCAGCCACCCTGGGAATGATGTGTAGTACAGAAATTTGCCTGGTCTTCATGCTGGTTGTGGGCTTCGAACGCACGTGTGGCTTTGTTTATTGCTGTGTTTCAGTTTTGTTTCGAATAAAAGAACCGACCATTGTGAACTTGATGACCCGATTTGGATTGGTTAGCCCAAAAAGGTCAAAGTCGTGAAGTGCAACTGCTGAACATTTGCTGACTGTCATCTCGTGACAAGGCAGCTCGAAGCCACGCGAAGCCAAACGAAGCAAAAGTAAGAAGAATAGACAAATCCGTGTGCTACCCATCATTCCCATGCAGGCTAAAGCACCATGTGTTGCAGCTCCCATAGACACTATCACCAGAGTTCCCTCTAGTGTATATATAAGAAACTCTATGGCCTCAACAACTTTTTTTTATTTTTCAACGATTGATTCGCTCTGAAACTGCAAATGTGCTGTGCAACACAACTGCAACAAGGAGCTGCTGTCTTTATTTTTCGTGAAATTTATGGCGATTTTCTGTTGCTCCGTACATTTACCTGCATGCTTTGTTGACGATCCACCGTAAGGATTCTTTCATTCAAAAACTAAAGTGCAGGTTTATACAAGGCAAAGAAGCCTGCATTATGTAGCTTGTGGTTGAAAATTTAACTCAAAATGCAATAAAACAGTGACATGGACGAAGATAAATCTTGGCTAAGATAGTTGCTAGAGTGAGTTGGTTCATGCTTGGGAAAGATTCAAGCAGCACAATGACGACAGAACCCCCACAGAGATGGACAGTGTGTCTTTCCATGTGTTCCGTCTTTTTTGCACTGTTTAAATCCTTCTAAAGAAAATCTTAGCCACAAACGATTGTGTCCATTAGCTCCCAAAACATGGCTGCAAAGTATCGTTACATATCAAAGCATAGCTCTACAAGCACTACGTGGCAAATGAATACATAAGTTCTTGCAGTAAGGATAAAAACTGGACCTTCTTCATACCAGATAAAGAAGACTGCAGACAAAAAATTGTGCCCTCTCTTGACCAAGGCCCTGTGCAAGTGCAAATTTAGCCACTCAATGTGGTACGATTATATTGTGAAAACCAGAGTGAAACACACGGCACGCAGACATAAAGGGAACGACCCTTTGCTGTTCTCTCAACTCAATATTCCAATATTTCCATATTCGAATACTCAAACAAATAATGCAGTATTTGAATTCACTTTGAATAAAACTTAAGTTACTGAAACTTTCACAGTATTCAAGACAAACGAATAGGTGCATATTAATCTGTAACATTCTCTAATGGTGGTTTCACTGCAGCAGAGGGGCGCTAAGCCATGAAAGCACCTATTCAAATGTTTATTAATTCACAAGTAACTTCCTGCAAAGGTGGTTTCACTGCAGTGAAGTGATGTCAAACCATGAAGACACGTGACCAGAAAAAATTTGTGCTGCCATGAAACCTCACTTCCAAGTTAAATGAAGATATATCACCCTCACATCGGTTCTGTTCTCAATCTTAGCTTGTTTACTGGATTATATGCTCTAAGTATCACAAATTTTTAAACGCAATATATTTTACAGGATGTAACTTACATTCTACTGAAAGTCAAATCCTGTTACTATTGAAAGTTGTTTCAACTTCCTTTGATGAAAAACATGGTATTTGCACAGGCCTTGTCTAAATTTTTAAAAAACATTGTGCAGGTTGGTTTGGTCATGACAAATATGCAATTTTTCTTTATAATCGGTGATATATATACACTAATGGAATTCAATTAAAAATTATTCAACCAAAAGCACTATTTTTTCAAATTTGCATCGGACCTAAAATTCACTATTTGCACAAGTCTAACGATTTTTCATGATAAATCTATGCAATGTGGCTCATCTAAACCTTAAGAAATCCAGTAGGAGGTGTTAACCATCAGCCGAGGTAAAAAAGAAAAAGACGTCACCAGGTGCCTTATACGTTTCCCTCATTTGAACCGAGGACGAAAGCTATCTTCTTATTCAAAGTTGATGCCTCCAAGGTCGGAGGCATCCCAAACTTTGTGCGCTACACCTTGTTTTTAACTGCCTCTGAGATTGGTCCAGATTTGAACAAACAATGATGTCAAGCGATGACACCAGCATGCAACGTCACAAAATTTGGTGATATGTGGCACCATGATGGCCTCATATGGTGATGTCAGCATGTGGCAGTGTTTTTGTGCATCCCTTGTGTTGACGTTGCCAATGCAGGACACCAGGACACCAGTATTTTCCCGTTTCATGAAGCATCCAAAGCTTTTAATTCTCAAAAAAAAAAAAAAAAAGACATTCCCTACCCTGAGGTGGCTTGAGAGGTTTGTGGTTTCGGGCGCACCAGCCGAGCGGATGCACCTCGTTGGTGCCCACGTCACACCAGAAGTCGGCCGACCGGTCCGCCCCATAGCCCAAGTAGCGCAGGGACAGCAGCGGGCCACACGTGGTCACCACCGAGGCCAGCCAGTAGACACCGCCGCCGTTACCACCATTGCCATTTCCACCATCGGCAGTGCTAAGTGGCACCTCCAGCTTCATACCTGGCCGCAGGCCACTCTCCAGGCTGTGCTCGACCTAACACCAGAATGAAAACCAACAAACAATCATGCCACGGAAGACATAGGGGTCGTTAATTGTACTGTTTGAACCGTATCATGGCAATTGCAATATAGATGTGAAATGTTGGCAGGGACCCAACTTGAAACGTTTAGACAATGAACCCGATGCTCTACCAATTGGGCACCAAAGTTTTTTAGCATTCAAATTTCAGATATTCTTGTGCATTGACGTCTACGTGGCAGATTTAGAACTCTGGACTCAAAGGGAAGGCACCCTTGTTCGCCACATCAGTTGGGCCTCCACAGATGTTGAAGCGGAGAGAGGTAAAGATATTTTCTTTTTTTTTATTCACAATACCTTACAGGCTCCTTATCAGAGCATTGTGTAAGGGGGGTGATACATGGTAAAATAGGACATGTGATAAATATAGAAAAAGATGACATCAAAACGATACAATCTAGAAAGTGCACTGTAATGTAAATGACTGCCAGAAAAGCAATACTAACACCCCAGTAAAAAACTAAACAAAGGAAGAGCGTGCACGAAACATGAACTTAATTAACATGAACAGTCAGTGGTTGAAAAATGAAGACAATTTCGGCAGCGTTTACAATACTACAATGTGACATAATACAACGTCAAACAATTTAAAACATGAGATAACACATCTAGAGAGAATAAATAAGAAATAACTACGTAAGCATGAAATGTTCGAGTAGGCGGTAGTGAAAGGCTTTGCAATTTGTGATCAAAGTAATATCGCCAGGGAGATCGTTCCAAAGCTGGATGGCGTGTGGCAGCACAAAACAATTAAACGCCCTTGTATTGCCGAAGATGCGCTCGAAACTGCCCTGATTATGGAGCCACCTAGACATGCGCAGTGGGGTTTTCAAAGGTAGGGAATGTAGCCTGTTGTTTTGAACATATCCATGAAGCAGGCATAAAAGAAAAGAGAAACACACTGGCGAACCTGAAGAGGGTGCAGCGAAAACTCGAGTTTTATTTTAGTAATACTGGATTTTCGTTCGTAAGTTCGGATAATAAAACGAGTTGCTAGATTTTGAACAAGCTCTAAGTTAGTAATTGAGTAGTCTTGATAAGGGGACCAAATAGATGACGCGAATTCTAACTGCGGGTGAATGGGAGTAAGGTACGCTAACTTGAGAATGTTAGATGGCGATTTACGGAGGTTACGACGAGTGTACTCAAGCGTTTGTGATGCTTTAGCACAGAGAGCAGTAATGTGGGGGCGCCATGAAAGATTGTGAGTCAAGTTTATTCCTAGATACTTGAATGACTGAACACGAGATATGACAGAGTTGTTAATGACGTAGGAAAAATCAGAGTTCGATTGTTTGCGGGTGAAAGAAATGAGTTTACATTTTCCAGAGTTCAATACCATGAGCCATTTCTGACACCACATATTTATAAGGTTAATGTCATTTCACAGGATGTGGTGATCATCAGGAGATGTTATTTTTCTATAAATGATACAGTCATCCGCGAATAATCTCATACTTGAGGAAATATTATTGGGCAGGTCATTAATGTAAATAAGGAAGAGTAAAGGGCCATAACACTACCTTGAGGGACTCCGGATGTTACATCAGCTAGGAGGGAGAAACACAGTTATTAATCACGGTGAATTGTTGGCCAGATGATAACAAATTTCTAATCCAAGATAACCTAGCAGAAACCAGTCCGGCGGAATTTAATTTGGAAAACAATCGACAGTGGGCCACCCGGTCAAAAGCTTTGGAAAAGTCAAGAAAAATGCTATCGGTTTGTAGATTGTTGTCCATGTTAAAGTGCAAGTCAGTATTAAGTTCAAGCAATTGCATATCACACGACATATTTTTACAAAATCCATGTTGATTTATGAAAAATAAATTATTAGTCTCCAGGTGGCGCTAGATGTGCGATGCAATCATGTGCTCTAGCATTTTACAGAAAATGCAAGTTAGGGAAATGGGGCGGTAGTTGTCTGGTTGATTTTTCTTTCAGCTTTGAATAACAGAATAACCCTGGCAACCTTTCAGTCTTTAGGTAGTTGTCTGGTCGACAATGATTGATTAAATATTCTGCAAAGTATTTCACTTGAAAGCGGTAGGGTATTTTTCCATATCTTAGCAGCATTTAAATTATCTACACCCGCCGATGTTGATAGATTAAGGTTATTTATGAGACACGCAACTCCATCCTCAGTGACCGTTATTGGCGTCATATAAAGGTAATTTAAATCTGAGACATAAGGCACGTTTAGGTGGTCTTTAGTAAATACCGACGGAAAAAATTTGTTGAACTCGAGTAAGCATTGCTCATCCGTTAGTGGTGTGTTGTCATCATTGAAAAGACAGATTTGTCGCGATTCATTTCCAGCAGATATGGTTTGCCAGAACTTTCGTGAGTTTGAGTGCAAGAGAAAGGGTAGGTCATGTGAATAGTACTTGTTTTTGGCAAAACTTATAGCTGATGAATATTCTTTCAGGCATGTCTTGTACCTTTCCCAGGAAGACGCGCTGGATGAATATTTGGCCTCTGTGTAGAAGCGCTTCTTTTTATTTCACAGTTTGAACAGTGATGAACTGAACCAGGGATTTTTGTTATCGTGAGCAATAGAGTTAAGAGGCACATACCTGTTCACTAAATCTGACATTTTGTTCTTAAATGCAAACCAATTTTCAACCACAGACTGCAGAGAGAAAGATTGTATTAAAGACTGATGGAAGAAGATTGCTAATTCATTGTTCATGCCTCTGTAGTCCACTTTATTGTAGTTACAAATGAACTTGGTAGCCATGAAACCTATATTTGGTACCGGTTTGTAGATGGCGAGTTGTAGGAGGTTGTGGTCACTAAAGCCATCACAGTATTTGATTGTGCCTATCGTATCAGGGGCAGTGGTTAGCACCAAATCTAAAATATTAGTACCACGTGTGGGTTTATTTACCACTTGCGAAAAGTTGAAATCCAACGAAAGGTTAATAAAATCAGTTGAAATTTGGCAGGGCGATGATAAAGTGGGCCAGTCGATATTGGGTAAGTTAAAGTCACCAAAAAGGCACACGTGATCCGTAGGACATCTCTTGATTGCGGCCGAGATGCTCTTTCGCAAATCATCTTGGAATAGTGGACTAGCGTCGGGTAGACAATAGCAAACTCCTATTAGTATGTTCTTGGTGTGAGCCCTACACGCTGCCCATGTTATTTCCAGATCAGAGAATGTATCAATTACGCATGATGCGATGTCGTTCTTAAAGGCCAGCAGTACCCTTCCACCTCTTCTTTGTGTGCGGTCACGCCTGTAAATGGTGTAGTCCTTATCAAACAGCAATTCCTCGTCCCTAATATTAGGGCATAACCAAGTGTCTGTAAGCGCTACGACCTTGACCTTTGGGCAGCCATCATCAAGGAAGGACGAAACTAGGTCGCATTTGGGCAAAAGACTTCTGATGTTGGTGAATAAAACTGATAGCAGAAAAGTGAAGGTGGGTTTTGAAGGTTCACTACGATCGCACTTATACATCTTCCTCTCAAGCTATTGTGAAGATAAAACAACAGAGTTCGTGGAGGAGTCAAGAACGTATGTCTCTCTATCTATTCGGAGCTTATCAACCGATAATTTATAAGGTTTAGCTTTTCCCCTGGCAAATTCCAGCAGTCCCTGGCAAAGTCCAGCAGTTTCCTTCTTGCATGGCATGTTGAGGGTGAAAAGTCTTCGCTTATTCCAGATTTTGACTCTTTCAATTTGCGGACAGAAGCCAGAATGCTTTGCTTGTCCTTCGAGACAGTCATCTTAGCTATTATAGGCCGACACTTGTTTGGAGCAAAGCGACCTAAACTATGTACCCTATCAAATTGAGAACCAGTCATTGTGATGTCAAGATTTTGGGAGCAGAAAGTTATGATCTTTATTTCAGCCCCCGTCCAATCTTCCTTCTCATCATCTTCATCAAAAAAAGTATATTGGAACGTCGCATCATTTAGGTTTATGCATATTTATTTAAGCCTAACAACGGCACACAGCGGGAATGTAATGCCACATGCCAAGGCTTCAACACCAAGGCAATTGAAAAGGCTGAAGTGTCAAAATGCGGAAGGCAAATAAATAAATAGAGAAAGCTGAATGACTGGGTAAAAATTTGTGTTTTAAAAACTTAAACTCGTGAGACAAGCAAGCAGATTTATGGCATTTAAGCAGCCTGTTCTGTGTCACTCAATTTCATAAGCTTGCCTTTAGAATTGTGTGCAAGAGACGGGTGTGGGGAAAAATAGTAATCATTTGTAGCGTTTTACATGCCAAAGCCACCATACGTACTATTCTATGTGGCACACCGGAGCGAAAGGATCAGAAAAATTTAACTGCTTAGTGTTCTTCGACGTGCACCTCAATTTAAGCACATGGGTCTCTAGCACTTTTGCCTCCATAGTAAATGAGACCGACACATACAGGATTGAATTTAAGCCTTCCAGGTCAGCAGATGAGCACCGTGACCGCCGTCTGACTTGGCAAATGAATAAGGAGAGCCTTGAAGACAACTGTGAATGGCTACATCTGAGGTGCAAGCACCCCCACACAAGGTAGTAAAGGTTTAAAATAAAAAGAAAGATTGATGCAGTTCAGGTAATGTAATGACAAAGAAATAGACCAACAGCTGCAAGGAGTTACTGACAAAAGGTGACACAGATTATAAGAGATAATGTGGTTAGCCAGTAAAGAAGTCAAGAAAAATATTACAAGTGAATAATGAAACAGGTACATGGATATTTTTTTGACACAAAACAGGGAATAACACAGTAGCGCCCCAACAGAAAGACACGCTGCAACTGTCCGAAGAACAGCAACAACTATTACACCGCCAAATTCATCATTTCTGCCACACAATAGTCCATTTTGCATTGCCAGTGAAAAGTGCCTTATCGTGTATAGCACTCTAAAAAAAAATGCAACAAGTCTCAGTTAAAGTCGGGCAGCAGGCTATACGTAAACTTCCGTATGCTAGGTGCCTTCGCAGTGATACTTTATGGCAATGCAAGGAAGGTGGCAGTGAGAGCAACAGCTGAGACTAGCCGCCTGGTAGGACAGAGTGACATGGACGAACAAAATCGAGTGAAGATTAAGTGGTTGCCGTCTTTGTGCATAATTTGTGGGGTCATTTCCATCAAGGTGCAAAATTAATTTGCAAGACTGAAATGTGAAGGCAATAAGCAGGAATATTCTTGCATTCTCCCTCAGGTTGTGCAGATAAATGTGCAGGTTATATGGAAAGGTGGACTATAATACATGAAAAAATATGGTACTAGAAATCTTACCACAAGTGTACTCAAAATTCCAGGCCTCACCACTGCAACATGTCGCCTAAGCGAGCAATCCACCTTCACGGCCTTGTTTATTTCCTTACGTCTTCTGTACGCTTACACTGCGCCCAAATTCATTGCAATATTACTCCAGTAATTAGAATCAGGCATTCGGAGCAGCAAATGCAGCAGGCATACTCACATGGGCGAACGCTGTAGCTGGTACGGCTTCACTCTGCGTGCTCTCCAAGTAGTCGTCCCAGTGGAACTCGGCCTCTCCATCATCCTCTGCACACATCAATGCCCAGCACTCAAACATGAATAATTAAAAACCCGAACATTAAGCGGCACAGCTAGGTCATATTCCTGTGCTCAGCAGCTGCCACTGCATAGAAAGGGCTAAGAAAGCTCATCAATAAAGTTTGTTTAGTTGAAGAGCCACAAAAGAATGAAATGCATCTTCCTGTTGTGCCAACGAAACGTCTCAAATGCGAACGGTCCCATTCACATCACAGACAGCCCTCAACGAAAGGTGTTAACCAGTTCTATCGCATGATTGAAAGAAACACTCTTTTCTGCAGTATAATTTTGAAAGCGATGCTTGCGACAACTATTATACAAACTTCCTTGCTTGAGAGACAATTTAATCTGCGTCATTTAAATGGCGTCAAGCATTGCCAATGACGGCCTGTCCAGACCCAGAGATTCTTAGCACCTTGCATATGAACCGGTAATATAAGTACCATGGGAGGTCTGCAGTGCTAGTACCTACATGTGCCATTTAAATCATCATTGTCATCATCAGCCTGGCTACGCCCACTGCAGGACAAAAGCCTCTCCCATGTTCTGCCAGTAAGCACAGGACCGAGTTGAGTGGCAGAAGATGAGAGAGGCCGTCATCCTGCAGTGGATGTAGTCAGGCTGATGATGATTTAAATGGCACTTGTAGATACTAACACTGCAAACATTCAATGATACTTAAATTACTGGTTAATATATGCATGCTATATATGCCATTACCAGCCTCACCCTTTGTGCCCCCTCTTAATCTCAAACAGAATATTGACTACACTGTCAAATCCACATAGCCCTTCATTTTGTTGCTGAAGATTATGCTTACAAACTTTTGTTCCATTCCTTTACTCATGGTCTTGGATTTGCCAGAATAACAGTCTTAGAGCTTCAGGTTTCCACTAATATTCTCTAGAGTTGAAGGGACCCCGAAACAGTTATGACAATTTTTTGACAAGTTCACTAAGCCACTAGCACAGGTGCAACGAATGAAGTTATGTGCTTTGCCTAGACGTGCATAATTTATTAGAATTTTATCAACCCTCAGCTATGCCAACACATCCAGGTTTCCTCAAATTATTGTGCCAATCATGCACTCTAATAACATAACATAAATAACAAAAAACATAAATTGAAAAAAAATAAGATCATTTCATAAACATAAATAACAACATAAATCGAAAAAAAAAAGGATCATTTCAGGTATGTTCCAGCCATGTTCACATGCTGAAATGAACAGCTCTACTATCATAAACCAATGAGTGAGCAAAGAACAGGAAAAGTGATAAGACATTCATACCAATGCTCCCTGTGAGGCTTTGCCTCTTGTGAGGACTTCCCTCCCTCTTGGGCAAAATCAGCACCTTGCCGCTCATGGCCGCTGGTGCCGCTTCTCCTCCTGCGGGTGGAAAGACGGCATGCAACGTGTTACGGGGGCCGTAAAAATAATGGGCAAATGAACGTGTTTTGGTATGCCATTGCACCACACTAGTAAAAAGATTCTTTCAGCCCAGCTGGCAAAGCATACATCACAATGCATATGGGCAAGGCTCGTACTGCATAGGTAAACTGACCACTGGTCACTGAAAGTAGGAGATTGAATTCCAAGGAAAGGCAAACGCATGAGAGTAAGACAGAAAATTAGGTTGGAAGAGTAGATTAAAGAAGTTTGCAAGTGTAACGTCGCAGCAGAAAGCACAAGACCGGGTTCATTGGTGGAACATGGGAGAGGCCCTTATGCTGCTAAGGGCATAGTCGGGGAAGATGGGACAACTCCACGGACACCGTGAATGCTCATTTGGAATATCAGAGGGACATTAAAGTGAGCATTGAACAAGTTTAGACATCCTACTGTTTAGAACTACATTGTCATTAACATGTTCATCACAGGCTAATATATGGGAAATAGAAGCGCCGAAATTCTAGTACGTGAATGTCACTGTGATGTCGCGAATCTCAGTCTTTTCACGCATTTTGGTCACAGCGCTTAAATGAAATTTCCTGGAACCCCCTGTTAAAATACTCGGGTCCTTCAGACCATTTTAACACTTTCAAATGCACACATTTCTACAGTGTACAGTTCTGAATGCACTACAGTGACAGCACCCCAGTTGCGTCGAGTGCAGCTGCACGAACAACTATTTCAATGCTGCAATGTCTATCCAACTGCCGAAACCACTAGAATGAACTTTAAAAAGATCATAATAACTATCTTAACATACAACACATACCACTAATAAGAAATAAGATTGGGAACATAGGCACTGAATATGGTTCTAACTTAACTCACTGTTATGTCAAAATATGGTGGCTAACCTGGCTGGACACTTCGTTGCTGTTGACAGTCAAGTCCACAATGGTTCTCTTGCTTTTACAAGATGTTCAAAATTTGTCAGAACTTAGTAGTTTGAACTAGTGGTGTTTATTTCTTGTACTGCTTGTTAAAAGAAAGCTTCCCAAATTGCGATCAAGAATCCATTTCCACATACTTTTAGGAAAGCATACACAGCAGCAGGGCTTAGTAACAATATATTTCCAATATGCCCAAGGGTGGAGAAGATGGCCACGCGTGCACCACTCTCCGAAACCACGTCGTCATCCACAATGCTGCTTTTTCCTTCAATATGGTCATATATTATAAGCATTTTCATAAGATATATTGCTTTACTATTGCACAACATAGACAAATGAGCAAATGACACCATTAAACTTTATGCAAACACACTCAGAACACTGAGTAATTCAGGTGATTCAAGATAACAGGCAAAAAATACCTTTCTTTTATCGCACTGCAGCCAACAATACTATTTAATTACTACAGTTTGTATAACCCCTTTCCCATTCACAGAACATATGTTCAAAATGCACTAGGTTATCTGAATTTTTATTTGTGCAACAGTGGTGGTGCATATGCTACTATACGGTTGGCACTGCAGCGGAGGCAAGCTCTAAATTAATTCTCACCAGCAGCAGCTCAACGTACAGGGCTGACCACTGTTACACGGAACACATGAGCATATTGACCAAGATCTTCAATACTCCTTGTGACTCGCAAATAGAAATGGCCCTGTGCTCGCCTGCTCCCTCTAACAGCAGCCAACACTGCATGTTGAAATCAGATAAACTGCAGTAAAATTGTTGGCCGAGCAAATTGGCACATTGTGAAACAAAAAAATCTAACGGACCAAGCAATAAAAAACTGTGGGACATGACGTTCTGCCTTGCAAATTAAGCTTACTTTGGAAGAAGGGTGACTGCACAACAGAAAAAAAGAAACGGTGTGTGTGGATGCTGAAAACAATTAGGAAAGAAAACAAAATTGGCACTGCAAATGTTGTCAAAAGACGATAGTTTTGTGTCTGAAGAGAGTGAACAAGACGTTTATGTGATGTTTTACGCGAGAAAATTAGTGAATTGTATTTTAGAGAGTCTCGATCCGTGCAGCGAAGATGAATGAGTGCATCGAGGCACGTTAGACACGAGCGCTATCTTCGAAAATGAAGGAAGGCGTGCGCCCCCGTCTTGGAGGCGATAAGGTGTAGAACGCAAAGCGACGGGCAGGTGCCACCACCGTGTGGTCTTAGCAAAGCGTTGGAAACACTTGCCTTTTTGAGCATCGCGTTGCATTGTCAGGGCAGCGTGATTAACGCTACGGTCCTTAGAATTACTTACGTGTGCCTTCTCTAATTTAAAGACACACAAACAAAATATTGATGTGTAGTTATGGTGCCTCGGATATGCGCAATAATTGCTTTTTAATTCACAATTGCACAGATATGATTGCTGAAACTTGAGCAATATTGTTGGGTGCTGCAGATGGGGTTGGCCGTTTAGGGTATCGTTTGGTGCCGTTTGGGGTATCGTTACGACGGACAAACAGACAGAAAGACAGACCAAAATTTTTGCGTCTGAGTACCTCAAGAAAGACTATCGTCTATAAAAAGAACTGTGGTTGAAGCCCTTTGATTAAAACACAATTAGAATGAGCCTGTCCACTCTGGTAAACCTTCAGGTGCCATCCATGAAAAATAAGTGACGTGTTACTGAACATGACGTAACACATGCCTTCATGCATTCTGTTAAACCCGTTTATTTATTAACGGTCCCGACGTGGGAGTCACCCGTTGCGTGCGCCTTGCAGGACCACAATAAAGTTTCGCAACCAACCTCCAACTCGTTTATTTGCTGTGATGCCATTACGCCAACCGCTATGAGCCACAAACATGATAAAGACACGACAGTGAGAATAATGCACAGTTTTGCTGTTAATAGCATTGGTGTCACCAGGGAAGTTAGACTTTGTAGTTTACCTAACACATTATTGATTGTTCATTCAAGTTTGCTTTTGAGAGTTATTCCCACTACTTTAATTTTTTTTTCTGCAAAGTTCTAGTGAAAGAATGGTAATGCATGCTGGTCAGCATTACTAGTCTGAGGTCCAACAGCCATCCTAAACGTTTCACTGGGCTGGTCACATACAAAAAAACAATAAAAAATATACAACTATTACCCCCCCCCCCTTTTTTTTTTCGCTTTCCACCTCCATCATTTATGCAACTGTTTCTGTCAGGAATCAGCCCAAAACCAGAGATATTTCGATCCGACTTCCACTCTTTGCTGAGGGTGCAGATGCATAATGGTAACATACCACATAGCTGCCATTAATATACATATAATGGTAAATCTTAAATATTGACATATGGGTGTCACACAGGCACCATCGAATGCTATCCCTCCCCAACCAGAATCAAATTTTTTTTTTACTTTCTGCATCTCGGGCAAATCAGTTAATCAAGATAAAGAAATACAATACCAATCGGCCTTGATTGCAAAAAAAAAGTGCCCCATCTGGCCCCGATATTTCACCTCACTAATAAATTTATATCTAGTGGTTCTAGTCGCAACATACCTGATTGTAGCTATTATCTCATTGGCTGATGTATGGGATATCACTAGTGAAAGTAAATGCTTTGACTTACTTTCAGGAAGATACTAGGATTGTATACACCAACACCTTTGGAAAAGTTAATTTATTAGCTTACATACTTATTACCATCATTTTTTTAACATGGCCGATGTTTTACATGATTTAGCATAATTTATTTCACCATGACCTCATGTTAAGTTAGCAGATCAAACTTCACTGGTGCGCATTTCATTTATGCTGAGAAGTTCCAAACATTTGTGACTTCTGAAACATACAATATGTGCATACATGTCAAACACAGTACACATCATGCAACTTCAGTAAATCTTCATTTAGCGTGTTTCGATAGATACAAAAATAATCTCCAATTCATAAATTATTAGAGCAAACAAAGCACTGTTGTGGCTGAAAAGGGGCAATATTCTCGCTAGACATTTGCAGATATTTGTTAATTGTGTATGATGCCTTTTGCCACAGATGATGCACATTAACACTCACTAAAGGAAATGAATAGTTATTAGTACTTAGCCTATCAAAATAGCAGTGCCGCTTATCTCTCTATCTCTTTTTTTCTCTGGTACGGTATATTGTATACATATTGTATATTGTATGAGGCGGCCCGCTTATCAGCAATCAATTCCGCGCAGTTCGTGCTAGAACAATGTTTCAAAAAAAAAAAAAAAGACAGCTGACGTTATTGAGTTCTGTTTTCACAGTACTGACCGATTAAAAGGGCTAGCTGTTTAGAACAAAGCACCAACAAAACACGGCGCTGATACGACGCACATTTCGGTTAATAATGATAGTAATCATAAAGACGAGTGAATTAGCCTGACCAAACAAATACGACGACCGCAACCCATTGTTGGAAAAAGCGCGCCCCAGAATAACGGATACCACCGGGAAAAAAATTCCGCAAGGATTTTTCAGGACAGCACGTGCGACGCGATTAAGCGAGCTCTATTGCGGGCTCAAATTCAAGAACGCTAAATAGTGAACACTTCAACACACTACGCCGACGCGATAAATGCGTCAGAAAGCAGCTGGACGGGAACTCGAACGCAGAATGCGTAATCGCGATGCAAGCGCACGGCGTATTCAAAGCGCATATCGGTACGTCAGTCCACGGCCGTTTCTCCATCATTTTATCAACGATGCGCGTACAATTTTACCTTTCAACCTTCACAAGTGGGAAATTTGCAGTTGCCGGGACGTGACGACGACGAGGGGCTGAGGAGAGATGATGTTGGGGAAAACACAAACAAACAAAAAGTTGGAAGTGCATCGATCACGCTAAATGTGGAAATAAATAACCACCCGAAAAATTCCGATTACATGCTTCGGTTTTGAAACGATCGACTCGAATACAAGGCCTGCGAAGAGGGCCGAGGCATAACGTCAATTTTTAAACTTCGAAATTCCTCCGCACTCGGCCGCTGAATATGGAACATTAGAACGCGGAACGAAGTAGCAGCTGACGATACCGTGATCGGCGATAAAGAAGAAGCGTGCAATAAAGTATCTGCTCCGCTCGGACAGCATGCCGCCAAATACGACACAAGGATCGTCGCTAACGTATAACGAGAAGGCCGTGAAGAGATAAAAATAACTGTTCACCTGGAGATTTATGCGGGCTTCAAATTCGCCGAAATCGCAGTCGCGCAGGCAGTTCCAGCAGTCGACCGTCACGCACTCATCCAGAAACAGCGAGCGGCACAGCGGCACAGCAGCGCCAGCACTGCATTTTTTTTTTTTTTCGGTACTCGACTCAAGCTTGAAATCAAAACCGAAACTATTTTGAACCGAACGACAAAACAACTTCTGGAACACACGCGAGACCGGTAAATTCGAACGCTACAACTTGTTTTATTGTGATGAGGCTCGCGTACGCCATTCATTTCATGTTCATTTGCTCTTTTTCCTGCGTCCTGTTGTTCGAATGGGTGACTATGACCATGCTACTATGGCCTCGGCTTACCGTGCGTCATTGATAAAGCTATAGTTATCGTCGTCATGGACCGACAAGCGCTCATTCATCGTCTTTCTCCTTATCTACTTTTGTCATCTGCAGTACTTCAGTTAAAGTGCCCTTCTAGTACACCGGACTTCAGCTTCACTCCAAAAACAGGTTCGCCGATTGGTCCAGCGTGAAGAGCATTAACATAACGAATTTACACAGAAAGGGGAGAGAGTGTGAGAATTAAATTATCCGCGAGAAAATTTACTGCAGCAAAAGGGAAAGTTCGGATAGCTCGTTTTCGGTCATATGGTTTGCTAGCTGCCAAAATGGCGATCGATGCATGTGTTAAATCACCATTGATTGTGTTACTTGACTGCGAGCTGACGTACTTGGAGAAGACGTAATGATATGCTACAAGTGTACTCGTTACATGCGGATGAGGACCTCACAGAGCAGAAATGGAGCTCGGCTCTCAAGAGCTCGGAACATCACCATCAACTAACTGGGCTGTCCAGAGGGCCTGCGATGCGGTGGTTTTGGTCTAACTATCCCCACGTCACGTGGGAGCGGCCCGCGGTGTCGCACTAAGGAGTGGCGCTTATCCGGATCTTTAAATAAAGTTCTTCGTAACGTGCCGAGTTGAATTTTGTCACGTGAATGGGTTGCGCGCGTATGTTTTGTGATCCTATAGCTTTCTCCCCCTACTTTTCTCCCCTTGTTTCGCTTGAAGGAAGTTGTCAGTCAGCACTCGCACAAGTTGTCGAGTCTTTCTGTGTGCTTCGTCTTTTCACGGTACCGATATGAAAAAATATATATATATTTTGCGAGGTGGTAGTCCAACCCATATCCCCACGAAGGCGACCGTTGCAACCACTCGGCTACCCAGGCACACTAATAACCATGAAAAGTACAAGCGAATGGGAAGGAGAAAGGAAGGTGAAAAAAAAAAAAAAACTGTATGCATCGGAATAATAGAAAGAAAGAAGAAGACACGGACAGAAAGACACACTAACACGTGGTTCGGGCCACCCGACGGCGGATGAGTGAATGCCGAGCGCGCCAAACGCTCGTCGGCTGCACGGTTCGGGCCCGCGTCGGTTGCCGAGTGAGCACGGAGGAAGTTCGAGTGAACGCCGAGCGTGCCAAACAAACACTCGTCGGGGTGACCAGTTGGCAGCACATCGGACCGGCCTTGGTTGCCGAATGAGCATAGTAAAATAATGTGTATTTATATATGGTGGCATAATATATAGTGCGTGATTTAAACTAGCATTCTCAGTCTATAGTGAAGCCGATCTAAAAAGGCCTCGAGCTGGGAGTTGAAGAAGTTGACGTTCGGGCGTGAGCCGTACTGTGGTTTACGACTGAATTAGTGTTATTTCCATGTAACAATATGAAAAGCAGTGGGTTCTCTTAACCCTTTATGGGACACAATGAGAAAAACACGATCAATTCATTTTGTCTGTATAAAACTGATGGTTACTACATCACTATGTGACATATAAAATTTTAGTTTCGTCAGTGCAAAGGGGGACTCAAAAAAAGTGGGACGCATATGTCCCACTGGTTGTTGAGACAACCAGAGAATGTGGGACAATATGGTCCCAGTAACCACATTCGACACGGCTGTTGGCAATAAAAAAAAATGTGGGTACTAAATTTATTCAAAATTGCACTCTTGCAAACAGCAACGTCTGGCTGTATGAAAACCTTCACTTTCCGTTATGAAAAGGCAGGAAACATGTAGCACACAACGGCACGTTGCAGACTTTGCATACAAGTGCCGTCCTAATTTCCTTCGCCTTGGTAGAACACCACCTGCACCGCTTACGTCCGGTTGTCTTCACAGGGTGGCGGTCACCTTTGTGAAATCTGATTACTCCAGGAACGCCCACCATCTTCTGTCCAGACTGACGTCCACGCTTCTTGTGCTGAAAAGCGGGAATGGCCGTCTTTTTCCTGAAGCTCTGACCGCTGATAAGCTCCCTTCCAAGGGCAAGACGAAACCACAAGTATTTGTTTGGTGTGAAGTGGCAATGCTGAATGAAAGCGTTGATTACAGCTGCATCTAAGAGGTAATAGAAGAGTCTGTAGCAACCCTTTTTCGACCTACGGTCGCACATATATGCGTTACGCTTTTGGTCGAATCGGTCGACACCCCCCATGAACTTATTTATTGTAGTCAGAGACTACTTTGGGGCATGTCACGCCCACCTTGGCTCCATTAGAAAGCGTCCGGTTCACTTCAACCACCTCAGATGGATCATGGAAGTTTGACAGCATCGTCACATTTTGGTTGTCACGCCACTGGTACGCCGTCAATTGGCCCTTTGATCGCCAAACATAGCCCCCTCTCTTCAATTTCTGGTCCACTTTGATTTCATGAGGTAAATCCTTCCTATTTGTTCTAACCGTGCCTGCTGCCATAATTTGTTTTTCTGAAAGCTCTTCCATGAGCTTTGTCGTAGTGAAGAAGTTATCAAAGTAGAGCGTACTGTCTTCGTCAACATTGTTGCAAAGAGAAAGAACGACATGTTCTCCAAGTGTACGACCAGCCTCTCTTTCTGCAGACTTCCCTTCATATATTTGAAACTCGCAGAGGGAGCCAGTGACAGAGTCCGCTCTACACCATACCTTGTACCCGCGTTTGATTGGTTTCATGGGGGCATACTGTTTCAAAGCCGATCGTCCTTTGAAACGCACCATACTTTCGTCAATTGCCTGGTGGCCAGAAGGCTTGTACTCTTGAAGAAACTTTTTGTTCAAGGTGTCCACAAGAGGTCGTATTTTGGCCAGTCTATCAAAACCCTCTTCACCTTTACTTTTTATCTTCTCATTGTCGTAAAAGTGCAGTGAGCTCATAATGGCCTGAAACCTCTTGAATGTCATCACACTGGATATCTCCTTCACATTGAAAAAGCTGTCGCTACTCCAGTAGAGGTACAGATGGTGCGCAGGATTTACGCTCATCAAAATAAGAATGCCCAAATAGGCTTTCAGTTCACCTTTTGTTAGATCGTGCCACCCTCTTCGAGCCTCCTGCCTGCAGCATAGCGGTTTGTTTCAAGCACGATCATTTCAAGTACATCATCATCGAAGTACAGGCTGAATGACTCGGATGGTGTACAAGATGAGGACAACTTGCTTGAATACTGCGGTTCCAGGCTACTCACAGAGCGAATGTTGAGAACCGGAAGAGCTGTAGACCACAAAGCGGTTCCTTCCGAGGCAACATCTCGGCTGTCAGAGTTATCCGATTGGACTGGCTCAGGACTTCTCAGGCGTCTTTTCTTTTTTTTGGGCTTCTTCCTGACGTACAATGATCGCCTCCTTTTTCCTGTGCTTGTGGATGGCTGATCAAGCGCGTTGTCATCTGAGTCACTTTCTTCGACCGGAGCCAGCGCGGGCACAACTTCATTCTCACTGTCTGCAAGTTCACTCTCGATGTTGCTTTCTCGAGGATCATCTGGAAGCCTGAGCAGAAGCTCAACCGCTTCTTCAACTGATAGCGACCTCCCTGGAATAAAAAGAGAATGCAATAGCGCGCTAAAATTCCGACGTAAGCGAGAAGAAAATTAGGCCTAGGAAATTTCGCCAGCTCTGAGTTGCGTCACTCATGTTGCACAACTTTCCGGGTAGCCAGTACGACAATAAAATCAGAAAACATAACACAGTGATTCTATATAGAAACCCACACGAGAAATAAAACTTTCACACTTGTCATTGTGTATTTAGTGCACGTCGACTCAAAATACCCGCGAAACTGAGCGCGGTAAACGAATTCGGAACGCTTCGAATGAAACGTTATATTGCGCTGCCCCCTAGAGCTTCGTAGAAAATAATGTTTAAAAACGTTAGATTAGACCCTCACCAGATGGCGACAGCAGTCTCAACTAAACAGCGGCGGTGGTTTTGGTGTGGCGCGGCTTTTAAACTGCAGTCAAAAAGTGGGTTGTAAATGTCCCACTGTCCCATAAAGGGTTAACATTCAAAAGCATTACCTTGGAGACCATGAGAGACAATATATCTGAGGTCTTAAGCTCGAGTACTTTAATTGGAAGAGAGTACGTGTGTGTGTGAGTGTGTGTGTGCGCGTGCATGTGTGTGTGTGCGTGTGCCTGCGTGCGTGCGTGTGCCTGCGTGCGTGTGTGTGCGTGTGTGTGTGCGTGTGTGTGTGTGTGTGTGTGCGTGTGTGTGTGCGCGCGCGTGCGTGCGTGCGTGTGTGTGTGTGTGTGTGTGTGTGTGTGTGTGTGTGTGTGTTGCCAATAATAAATTATTGCCGACCTCTCTGCCTTCTAATATGTCATCCCGCTCACCTTTTTTTTTTTTTTTGCACCGCAATTTTTTTTCTTTCCTAAGTCATGAACCACCTTTCCCCCGAAAACGTTTAGGTAAGTGAGTGGTTATTAAGCGTCATAAATGGCCACGATTTCTTTTCACTGAAATTTGTGCTTAAGTTATTCACATATGCGTATTTGCCTGGAGAGGCTGCAGGGCCCACCAAGCAGTGTTGCAAGCACAATAAAATAGCTATAATAAATTAATTACGCATCTAATACCACAAGTGCTTACTATTTAAAACAAAACTGGTGGTTGTAAACCTCATAGCAACATAACAACGCTTTCACTTGGCCTTAGGCCATTTTGTGCAAACTTGCAACTTGATACATGGCTGCGCTAAAAAACACGAACAGATGAGACGTACTCAGGTCGTGTGTGCGACTCTGTTAATCAAGTTACAATAAAATAACAGCGGTATCAAAACATAAAGT